ACCACAACCACCACAACCACAACCACCACAACCACAACAACCACAACACCACCACCAACAACAGCAGCAGCAACAACACCAGCAGCAACAACAACAGCAGCAGCAACAACAACAACAGCAACAACAACAACAACAACAACACGTCGGCACTCTATTGTTTCGGAGCGCCCAAAAACACCCACCCACCCCAACCGTCGTCCCCGCCCACGTGACGTCGCTTAAGCGACTGGGAATCGCTCCGGCTCTGCTGCGAACTGGAGCTGCGCTGCCGCCGGAACTGCGCGCTCGGCGGCGAGGCCGCCCGGTGGATCCCCAGTCGGTCCGAGGAGCCACGGCGCACCTGGCGGTCGGTCGGATCTGCGATGGACCTTTTTAATCCTTTTTAGATGGGCCAAGGAAATAGGAGGGTTGTTGGAAAAGCGTAGGTTGTTTTTCATGTGTTTCTTTTCCCAGTATGGTCCATATTGATGCTAAACGCATGCCTGGTGCCTTTCGTTGTCTTTTCTATACAATTGGCACATACATCTCTTGATCTGCGAGCCAAATGAAACAACACCAGCACCACTGCGCAAGATTGAGAACTGGACAGCGAAGTCAACTCATTTGTGATGTAGCCTATTGTACTGCCTAATGTCTGGAACACATAATTGAAAACATCTGGAGCCTTCAAAAGGCCTATATTCTATGACGGGACACTCCCGGCTTGTGCAAGAATCTCCGAGAACACATTTGGCGGTCATGACAAACCACGACATTGGTGGGGAACAAACATCCCGGTCTAGGCCAGGAAGGTCAAATCAAATGCAATGATTTAGGGCACTGACCCAAATAATACTTCTTCAGTCAGAATCTCAGGTGCCGTCCCCACTTCTGAAAGATCTTGGGGTCATCAAAATGTAGCACGGACGCCTTCTCTCTACCAGCGATGTTCTGAGCTTCCTCTTTGCCTCAGCAGCCGGCACAGCTTGGCATTTGGGGCACCCGCGGAGGGAGCTGGTGCTGGAGTCTTTGTTCGGGTGTTCAAGAGACTTGTCTGCTTCCGGGCAATCACTCCATCACTCCTTTTTGTAGCATTCTGCCAGCAAAGACACACTTCTCAGCGTCAAAAGATCTGATGGCAGGGTCGTCCATGTCCAACGGAACATGGACAAGTATCCTTTCCTACCAGCTGCTTCCGGGCTAGGGATCACCTGGCTGGATATCTCCACACTACGTAAACAGGTCTCCAGACAGGGCACCCTGACAGGAAGCGCTAGGTAGATTGAACAATGCAACATGTTTCACTTCTCGGAAAACCACCTGAACATCGGTTTCAATCGGCAACACACGCTCACGCTCATCAAAGTCAGAAACACATGCAAGCTTACTGGGGAAGCGAGCTTCCCGGGAGGGCACTACTGACACTACTTATGCCATCCACAAAATCGAATCATTCAAAGGTCCTGATGATGACAAACGAACTCCAAAGTGAGGATCCAACAATCCATATCAACAGCCAACAACCCTGTGATTGCCTGAGTGTTTAGGAACATGTGATTTCTTGCACACCCGGCAGCAACCAGTGGTGCCTGGCAATGAAGCACCCCGAACTATTTCAATACATGATTCGACTGGGCGGGAGCGGAACTCCTGTGTGAGTGAAAGCACCACCCACAACTGACATCTCCACTCATCCATTCATACACTCCAGTGCTCGTCTGCTGGTTGAGGCCCTGTCTTTCCAAACCGTCCGTGAAAAGCGACCGAGCGGCTGGTCCACTTCGTGAGCTCCTTCTTGGTGACAATGGCGATCAGCCGACAAATGTTGGCCGCCGCGCGGAAGACGAAGCCCGGCAAGCTCAGCAGCATCACCTGCACGGGACGGACCGGTGGAGCTGACGGTTGACGGGGTCGAAGGAAGGGCCATGGGTTTGGAAGGAAGGGCCTCACCAACCAAGGGGAGCAACTGGGGGTTGCAAAGATGTGGCGGAACATCTGCTTGATCATGATCCATCTACTGTACTTCGACAGTACGGTAGGTAGCAGGTAGCAAAACACACGCACAGAATCAGCAAAAGAGATTATAAGAGCAGTTTCCTCCCGTATTTGGCATTCCGCTTTGAGCCTTGAGCCTTGAGCCACAGTCTATAAAGTTATTGTGTTCAATTATGTTGTGAAAAAAGGCAATGACATTGAACGATTTGTTATGGAGATCGGTCAAAACCTGAACCCCAACCAGTCCACCATTTGCCGCGAGTTCCGACGAGTCCACCGCTTCCGGCTCGGTCGTGTCCGGTCGGTCTTCGCTGGTTTTTGACAGATACACTGGTCGACCCCGTTGTGACAAATACACGGGTTCCAAAGAGTGTGACGGGTCATGATGGATGTGTGGATTTCTCAAACAGGCCCATCCATCCGTCCATGTGAATTCGCGATTTGTTACGGGACGTATACAGGAGTCTTTCTCTCCGTGATGGCGTCTGATGGTCCACCCAAGTACGAGCGGTTTCGTACGACCCGCCGGTGGGTCTGAACCGAGCTCAGGACACCAAAAGAACACGTGAAGACTTATTTGCATGGCATCGCTTCTAAACATGCTTCTCTCACATGCTGCCCAAGTCACCAGCACAGCAATGGGCCCGCTGTCGACGATGAGGCTAAGGCCAAAGAGCTCGAAGCTGAGGCAAGACCAGAAGAGGTATTTCTTATCCTCGGCTCCCCTCCTCTTCACTTGGATTTGCTCCCAAACCCGGATGGAACATGTTCCATCCACTCCGACGAACAGTACATCACCTGAAGTAGTACACCCAACACCCCTCGTTTGGTAAAGGAACGTCGTCTTCCAAGGGGCCAGGTTCCACGTAACCATGTGGATGTGGTTCGTCAGAGTGTAGCTATTCCCGAGAAGTGGATTCACCCATCAGGAAACATATCACATTAATTCATTTTAGCAAAAGCAGCTTCAGCTGTACCTCACGTCTTCGAGGCTGGACCTCACGTCTTTAGGATTTTCCCCAGGCTCTGATTGGAAAAGAAACACTCCCGGCTCAGACACACACATGAACAATGGAAGCGGGTACTGGGAAGACTTCTTCCCCCTATACACCAAGCCTCTTGTCCATATCTGCGCTTCTGTCCCTGGTGTTCAGATGTGTTGGTTGAATGACAAGACTTAAAGAACCATCATAGAATCATAGGCATTTCCGGGCCACGGCACAAAAATTCACCAGATGCAATGCAAATCCGAATTCTTCCACATGCCTCAGCTCCCTTATCATCAGGAACCCCCCTAGCTATAAAAAAAGAGACTCCCTCCTAGGTCCTAGGATGGCTTTCGTCGACCGAAGAGACGCTCTTGACATGACTGTTGACTGTCTCGCTCTTCCCGTCGATCCGGTTTCAAGCTTCACTGAGATACTTCCGCACGATGGCGTAGTCATATCCTGGCCCGGAGGGACTCTCCTTTGGATCGTCGAGTCAGGGAGTCCGCTTGTGCAGCGACCCTGGGAGTCTGGTGGTTGAAGGGAAAACATCAGGAACAAGGAGTTCAGGATTCAATCCAAGTCCAAATGCAAACAATACAACAAGTAATGAAACATCCAATCCAAATGTTGAGGTTTCTTGGTGTTTCATGGTGGTTTTGCAAGAGGCGACAGCTCCGCCACTGCCAGGTTTGTCGCACAACTTTCCAAACCAAGGAGGCCTTTTTTGTCTGGTCTCAAAAGGGCCAACAACATCAACAACCCAATTCTCAAGTCTTGGCTTCATCCCGACCCCAAAAGTGAAAACAATGAGGCCACTTAAAACTAAAAGACCACAACTTGGACACACATAGGAAAACAAGAACACAAACAATAGGAGGCGGAGGCCCTTGACATAAACAAGCCATGGGAGTCCCATCTGCTTCTGATGCACCCCCAACACTTCTGAGAGGAACATCACCGAACTGTGCGCGATGAGCTCCTGAGCCGCGTGAAGGCCGATGAAGGCGAGAGAAGGGTCAGATCTCGCTGGTGTTCACCACTTACCACTTACCCACCTGGCCCTGTTCTGCAAAGAAAATCCCCAAAGCAAAAGGGTTATGGACCTGACTGGGCACGGATGACTTAGGCTTTAGAATCTGAAGTCACATAGGTGTCGTTGCATGTGATTTTGCATACGACCTAGGACCTATGTCATGGTACCCTGTTTCACCCAAACATGCCCCAACTGGTCTAATGAGATAGGACCTAATTCTGGAAGGTTGTGAACCGTGATACAGCAGGCACTGGTCCGCATATGCTCGGCTAGGCTTGATTTCTGTGAATTGTCAATCCGAAGGCTCATGAACAAGGTCTTGTGGAGATTATTTGCCTCTTCAGCCTCTTCAGCTTTTGCATGACTTAGGACTTCAGAATTGAAGGTCTTTCCGGCTAACTCCTTGGTCCTTATTAGGGGCAGTCAACTGGGCAGTAAACTGTCCTTCTCAGAAGGTACGACTGGACCCTCCTGGCACCTACATAAGTGTGTCTTCAATCACCTTCTGAGAAGGTGCTTGAATGCCTAGGGAAGACTTCCACACCTCTCTCCTCCTTCGTCGCTCTGTCGTTCCCCAGGGACGGCGGAGGTGTTTCACAGAAGTGAAACATGGTGAAACACATCACTCAAGGAGAGCTGCCACACCGAAACAACAACATCTGACAAAAATGAAACTCTCCTGAGACCATCCAATGGATGGTCTGAAAATCTGCAAGTTCTGGAAGGGTGGTCCAGTCAAATCATCCAAGATTTGGTCGAACTGCCCACTGTCGGCCCATCCAATCCAAACAAACCGGACCGCTGGTGCACCGCAGGTTCAGAACGTCCAATCCGGCGCGTTCCGCTGTTCGGTTGGTGGCTCTTCATAGGAACTCCCAAAGGTCGTCGTTTGACGGCACAAAGCCCCCCAGCCACTCCCTTTCTATCATCATGACAAACTGGAAGGCCGGGTCCTGTTGGGTCCACCGGTCCTGCGGTCGAGTCTTCGAGGCCGCCATTTCCCGCGTAACCGACCTGATGCTTGGAGGGGCACGACTCCTGGGAGCTGCAGCAGGTCGTGGTGTGCGCCCTTCCGCCCTTGCGGTTCCGCAGCGTTTCGATCCAAGGGGCCACCAGAAGGATGAGGGCCCGCAACACGAAGGCCACGATCTCTGCGGTGGTCCCGGTGAAACATGTATTCCTCGGGTCGTGACCCGCGACCGGTGGGCCCGGATGGGTGGGTCCAGGGTGATCCACTTCCGGGGGACGAAGTGGCTCGAGACCGAAACTGAATAGGATGGAGCAGACTGGAGGACGATGTTCCTCTGCAACCTAGTGGTGTTCAGGTTCCAATCTTCCATGCAGCTGTATGTCTTAAGTCATAGGGATCCAACGGACCAGGTCGGACGAAGTGAGGAAAACGGTTTTACGGTGACTCTGTGACTCTAAGATCCAAGTTCTTCAAGCGACGTGGGATGAGTCAGTTTCAGTGAACATCCTCCCACCCCAACGCTCTGCATGGAGCGATCGCCTGAATCCTCTCTGGAGGAGGGTCGAACCTGGTTCTTTTACATGGTCTCTCACCAATCCCGCTAGGTCTTCCAGGGACCGGGGAATCCGGGCGGTTTTCACGGAGCATCGTTCGAACGATGCACGGTGCCCCACTGGGCCCTGGCACTCCGCGGCACTCTGCGCCCGAGAGGCCCATCTAGCACAGATCGCGCGGCAAAATGAAGACATAAGCAGCTGGACACTCGATCGATGACCATATCCTGAGATCGCATAGCCTAGCCTGAATCGCTTCGATTCTGGTTCGGCGGAACCCGAAGATGTGACGCTTCGAACGCGGAGCATGGAACACATAGTTTTGCTATATGTTTTGGTGCATGATGCTGCATGTCCCCAAACTTGGGATCTGGATCAAGCAGAATGGCCCAAACATAAAATCTATAGCCAAGCATCTAAATAGTAGCCGAGCCTGGACTCCTGGTTCAGTGCTCGGGCCGCATAGCCATCGACGCCTCAGATGGTCGGTTGAAACTGGTGGTTGGGTCGTGAAATACATGGAAATCCGGAGGGTCCACGATTTGGAGAACACGAGAAACCACTTGTTTCGGCTACATTCTATATCCGCCGACCCCACACCGTGGGGTGAGGCGTGACTGTCGATGTTAGCCTTAGCCTTAAGCCTTAGCCTTAGCCTTATCCTTAGCCTTAGACCTAATCCTTAGCCTTAGACCTAGACCTTACCTCCCCTACCCCTGCGGACCCTTGTTGCAGTGACGAAATCCGGTTGGAATTCTCCAGGAAAGCTATCTGATTGCGACGTGGATTCTGCCATCCCAATTGGTTTACATCTTGGGGCACCCTCTGGACCCGCGCGGGAAAATAAGCACGGTCCAAAATGGTCCTGGGCTCGAATCCCGGGCTGGTCGCGGCATGGTCCCGGCCAATGCCCTTGCTTTTTCGTAGATTTTGTCACGTTTTCTGTTGGTTTATGAGATTTTCAAAGGCTTTTCTGGCATTTTCCTAGGAATGCTCTAGGCTTTGTCTTTTTGGGTACCTGCTTTGGTGGTGCTGGGTTGGGTCTAAATTCTTGGGCAATGATATCCTTTATGGGGACGAGGGTTCAGCATTACGGGGTTCATGCAAGAGATGACGTCCGATGGTAAACCTGGGAGGTACCCAAAAAGTCGACTTTTTGGGTACCTGCTTTGGTGGTGAAGGGTTGGGTCTAAATTCTTGGGCAATGATCAGGGTTCATGCAAGAGCTGACGTCCGATGGTAAATCTGGGAGGTACCCAAAAAGTCGACTTTTTGGGTACCTGCTTTGGTGGTGCTGGGTTGGGTCTGCACTCTTAAGGCTAAGGCTAAGGCTTAAGGCTAAGGCTAACATAGAGCAAGGCTAGCGCTAAGGTTCTATCCCTTGGGGGTCGGCGGCTGCAGGCGGTAGCCTGGTAAATCCGGGCGCCGGCCACGAAGCCCGTGCCCTGCCCGGAGGGCCTTCGGTGGTAACCGAAGGTTATAGACGCTCGCCCCCCCAACCGCCGACCCTCGTCACCAAAACGGGGGGACCACCGGGTCACTGATATCAACGTAATTTACAGGGTTTCGTGTGTGTGAGGTATAAAAAACACTGTGTTTTACAGGGTTTGGGGGCCCTCGGCGGCCGAGAATTTCATCTGGGCGATGTCAAAAAACCTGGGTTTTTTCATGGTTTTTGCTTTGCGGGAAGGAAAAAATCGCAAAAAGTTGTATCGGAAGATTTTTTCAACATAAATCGCCTAACATATCCCCAACATAGGCCCAAGATAGCCAACAGATCCCCAACATATGCCCCACATAGCCTCCAAGATGGCTCAACATAGGGCCAACATAGGCCAACTTGGGGCCAACAGACGCCAACATAGGCCCAAGATAGCCAACATATCCCCAACATATGCCCAACATAGCCTCCAAGATGGCTCAACATAGGGCCAACATAGGCCAACTAGGGGCCAACAGACGCCAACATAGGCCCAACATAGGCCCAACCTAGGCCAACATAGGCCTAACATAGGCCAACCTAGGCCCAACATAGGCTCAACTTGGGCCCAAGATGTGCCCAACATAGACCACATGGGCGCAACTTGGCCCAACCTAGGGCCAAGATGCGCACCAGATAGCTTAACTTTGCTCAATATAGGCCCCACCAAGTCTCAAAGAGAGAGAGAGAGAGGGAGAGAGACAGGAGACAGAGAGACAGAGAGAGAGCGGGGAACCAGCCCTGCACATACCCAAACCCAAATAGGCCGGCGCCCGGCTGTCAGGCGTAAGCCTCATAATATTGGCGCATTGTTTGGTGTAGCCGCCCCAGGGCTTTGAAGCAAATCCCATGACCGACACGGAACTGCACCTGGCAACACCCCTCTAGGACCCCTCCTTGGCCACCCCGGACCACCACGTCCGAGCGCCGAGCGCTGAAAAGAGAAGCCATCTCAAGTGGACCACGACTTGGCCCTGGGTTCCACAACAAGCCACAACACGTCGCACCAGTCGCGTCATCACCTAATTACCAGCTGCTTCCTGTCGGGGTTCCCTGTCTGGTGACCTGTAAGGTAGTGTATGGTTGTCCATTGGTAACCCCTTGGAAGTGCTAAGGTATAACCAATGGAAACCCATTTAATATATACCGTATACCAATAGTGTATACCTGGTATACCAATGTGACCATTGGTATTCCATGGTATTCCTGGTCCATGTTGTCATTTCATCTGCCGAGTATTTCCGGTCAACGAATCTCCAGCCCTGTCCACGTGACCGAAGCGATGGGCTTCTGGCTTCTGGCTTCAACACATGGATGGCTCCAAAAGTGGCCCCAACAGCGACCTGTTCAGCTGGCACCAGGGCGCAGTCCAAGAGATAGCTGACGGAGTAGTACATGGCGAAGGTTTGACCATCTGGAGATCGAACCGCCCAGTACAACGCCAGGATTCGTCCATAATCCTTGAGCAAGGAAGCTGTTAGGGCCAGGATTTGGAAGTGGAGCTTAGTTAGGGCCAGGATTTGGAAGTGGAGCTTAGTTGAACACATGATTTGAGGCCACAAGACTTTCGACAGGTCGCTGGGTGGCCGGCTGCTCATCATCCAATTGTCTATGTCTTGCTCCCTGCATAACAAGGGTCTGGAAGACATCACTTGGATACACCAAGGTGATATGGACATTGATGGTTTGCGTCTTTGAATTGATTATGTGAGCTGGATTGCAGCTGGATCGTGTCAAAAGAACATCTGGGGAAATCCTACCCAGGCCGCAAGGACTTGTGGAGAAGCTGCTTCTTTGACGAAAAGGGTGGACCCTTTAGGGCGTGCAAACCTCATATTATACATATATCGCGCGATCCCAGTTGATTATGAAAATCTGTCCTGTTGTCCAATCAAATCGATAGTCATACAAGGAGTCCATCTTTCGCTTTCATGTGAGTGAGTCGTAGGGTACTTGCCGGCCTGGATCTTTTCAACACGAAACCAGATCCGCCAGGCATCTATGATGTTGGCCACATAGAAGAGCTCCTTGAGCTGCATCAGCCCCCACCGCGAAATCGGCAGCTCCGGTCTCTCCCGGACCGCCGCGGGAGACGCGACGTGAAGACGCTAAAGCCAATGCAGCAAAGGCGTGCTCCAAACTCTTTAGTCAGTCTTCCCAAGTGGTGGCTGGGGGGTGGCCAACAACACCGTAACAACAGGCCAATAAATTGAGTAAAGGAGTGCTGAGATGATACTGGAAAACCCAAAATCCTCCTCCGTGTGCAAACTGAACCAGGAACCAGTTGCATATACACCAAACTGCTAGCTGGCACTGCCCACGGTAACCTTTGAGAGATTGGTTCTTCCTCTCCAGGAGCAGGACTCGAAAGGAAATGACATGTACAGGTTCTTGCCAAAAACGACTGCCCGTGCACATTGCTGTTCTCATCATGAGCCCATCCAAAGAAAATCAACCAACCCTGCACCTATACTGCTGCCGAGTAGAACCGTAGCAAGCTCCCAAACAATAATGTTTAAGATAATCTTACAAATAAGTTATAAGCTATAAGTATAAAACTAAGTACGCATTCCGAATAACAGTACACCACACAATTTATTGTAAAACCAGTCCAACTACATCACTAGCATGCAAGTTTGCAGGTCAATCCACTGGAGCAACAATTGTGTGTGTGTGAAACAATGTGAAACAACATAAAACAAGTAACAGTCCCTAACTAACATGCAACATTTGAGAGAAGGGGGGTGGACGCAACGACGGGTGGGTAGCAGCAGCAACCTAGCATCAGCACAGGCAAACCACCAGTAGACCAGCAGCACTAGCACGCCAGCAGGGCAGTAGCAAACCAGCAGCAGAAAATCAGCATCAAGCCAGGAAATTAGAAGCAGCAAAAGATCTGCAGCAACACCAGCAAGCCAGCAGCAGCAAAGATAAATCAGCAGCAAAAGCAGCAGCAGCGGCGGCGGTGGCAGCAGCAAGGGCGACAGCAAGAGCGGCAACAAGAGCAGCAGCAAAGCAGCAGCTCGAGCAGGAAACCATCAGCAAACCATGGAAGCAACAAAACAGGAGCAATTTTGTAGCAGCATGAGGTCTAGCAAAAAGCATGGGAAGCAGGAACATCGGTGGGTTCCCACGCCATAAGGACGAGAGCATGAGGAGCCGAGGATGAAGCTCCGGAAAAAAAAAGCAAACGAGGAGGGAGGATACTTCGTAAGAAAGAAGTGGGTCAAGGTGCGTTGCATGAAATTGAGATACAAGTACCTAAATGTTTCCAGAAGCTGGATACGACTTCAATCAGACCCGGCCACCGCACCAGTGAAAGGACATTGACCCCCCACTTAATAAGCGTGAATAATTGTCTTTCGCAACCCCGAAATCTTGTCATGGAGGAGGATCCTAAGCTAAAGCTGAAGCTAATTGACAATGTCCGATATAAATCTTTCAAGGGGACTTGTGGTCGTTGAAAGATCATGATGACCATGAGTGCAAAGGCAACCAGTAGCCTCTGCTCGAGGCTGGTTCCAACATGTTCCCAAACCCCAGCTGTCCTGGATCTGCTGATCAGATCAAGCACCTGGAACATCTACAGGCATCTCTCAATATCTTTTCCATATGATGTTCCCCAGTGAAAACTGCCCATTGTTCAGGTCATTGAGTCACCGAACGTCGAACATCTTCTAACGGATCATCTTCAAGCTAAAGCTGCACTGATGTAAAATGCCCTAAACACCCCTCCTCCCCGCCCTAAGACGACACCGCCACCCGGCCGTTGCCAATCTTCTCGCCCAGCTCAAAGCTTTCAAGGCCTCGCTGGCACGGAGGCTCTAGTGGGTGAATCGTTTTTGGGGGGGAGAGCGTTCGCCGAACGCTTGGAAGACATCACAAGGTGTAAAAGACCATGTTTCGGCCTCCTTGCGAAACGACCCTGAAGGTCTTGGTGCCTGGGGGATCTCAAGCGGAAGTATTACGAAATCACAGCGAGAGCACCCGAGCGTCTTCAGGTCTGACACGCCCGGCCTTCCACATCGGACGTGGAAAACCTCTGAGAAGGCGGCTGGTATCAAAAGTGAATTCTCAAGGCTTCCATAAGGCTTCCTGGTTGGGTGTGAAATGTACTACCCAAAGTGAAAGGACGACATGGTAAGCCTAGAGAAGACATTACGTTGCATGACATAAGGCATTGATACAAGTACTGGCAATGATTCATGTTTCATCTCAGAACTTTGCCAAAAAAGAACCCAACAAAAATGCTAAGGTACCACTACATGGGATGACATGGTGAGTACTATGGTGAGTACTGTACACCACCGAATTCATTTTGAGATCCTCAGTCCGCCCGCCCGCCCCTCACCTCAGTCCGCCCCGGCCGGCACCGCCGGTTCCGTTTGGGCCCCGAACCTTCGCTCCGCCACCGTTGGATGCTGGCCATCCTGTCCGGTCGTCCGGACCGAGTGACTTGGTTGGGGTGACTTCGCCCAAACAACAGTGGAGAACGGCTAACCTCAGCGGATCAGCGTCGTTTGGAACATGGTTAAGCAGAAACTGCTTGTCTTGCTATTCAGTTATTCCTGCCAACTCTTAAGAGGAATATCCAGTGGCCCTGGCTGGGGTAGACAGGTTCTAGGATGGTCGCTTCTTTGAGGTCGGGTCGTTGGGGAGAGATCTCACGATTCGAGCTACACCAACCAAGAAAGTGATGCGGTGGAAGCAGGGGTAGCAAGGCCACAAACCATGCGTTTTTGGCGATGCATCTAATGAAACCCTATTGAAAACCCCAACCTGGAGATTCATTTGGCACCTCATGAACCCTGGAAGATACGACTTGACTTAACTCCACACCCCAGTATCTAAATGCTTGAGCCGACAGCTCGGCTTCCGGTCAGGAACTTCTCTCTCTCTCTCTCTTGCCCGAGCGGCAAGGTGCTTTTCCGCCGAGCAATGCCTGGCAGATCGGAAGGGACAAGGAGAAGCAGTACCAAACATGGTGGAATTCCTTCATTGCCTTCCTTTAAACCTATACTAAAGGAAGTAAAACAGGCCAACTAAAGGCATCCAAAGCGAAAAACCCAGTGCTTCTGTCATGGGGTCAGCCAGGTTCGAGTCTTTAGCTGGTTTGAGACTGAGATTTTGTCAGCTGAATTCACTGACTGAGTGTTCCAAGGGGAAGGGCACCTCTCCAGAGCACTGAGGGACTGAAATCATTCGAAGTCACGTCCAATTCGGACAGGGCCGGCGCCCATTCGCATTTCGCTGTCGACTCCTGACGCCTCGCCTCCGTCTCTGCATCATATTCTACCCAGCCCAAACACTCCATGTATGGAATACAGTATATATAGTTACATACATACTCCATGTACGACCCTGATGCAAGTAACTATTCCATAACATGGATGATCTACCCACTTTGGTCCAAAAAGGACGTCACTGACGTCCCTTATAATATGTCTAGTGGTGTCTCTTCACTATTGGGTCATGGCTCTGGGTGCTGTTTTCGCCCTGGCGCACCCTGCGAATGCATGCTGCACATGAACCGCTCTTGACTTGGGCACTTAATCGTCTCAGTTCTTACTTTTTCAGAGCACCACTCGTCAACGTCAACCTCTGGAACCTGCGCACGGTAGGTTTGTTCTGTGTTGGGCAGGTCACAGTTGGGATGGTGTCCCCACAACTTCGATAGATTTCGGAGTGATTTTGGGGGGGTCGGGTTTCTGCCCACCATGACTGAACTTCTGCGACGCTGCCATGCCACTCAACACTGCCCTTCCTTCCCGCACCTGCACTTTTGTTTGTGCGCTCGTCCGTGCTGGCCTGTGCAGGGGTGAGGTTTTGGACAGCAGTTTGGCAGGTGACTGGTCCTGGTGTATGCCGACGATGCGACCAACGGTGGGAAAGGCCAGCCTCATAACTGACCTGCAAAATAGGGCCATGAAACTGCAACGAACATAACTACAAGCTGGTCTGAAGGGTTGGACGGGTTATACAGGTTATACTATAGCTTCACTGGACATGGGTAGAATGAATGAGAGTCATGAGTCAAAGATCGGCATAGCACGTCATAGCATGTCAGGCCAAGTGCAGTGCTTGCCATGGAAGTGAACGAGACGACTCTCCTGTGGGGTCTGTCATGCTGTCAAGGTCAGCCCCTCTACCTGTTGAAGAACTAGAGCAAAAACTGCACTTTCCGTCACGAAGAAGCATTCTCACGCATTGAACAACAAACGACTCCTGTTTTGACATGTTTTGACTGTGCCGACCCTTTCCTTCAACGTCCATTGATGCCTCTTGATTGATCACCCCCCCATTTGGTTGCCGCCTCCGTCGACGTCCGCCTTCTCTCAGGGACCTGCAGCGAGTCGGTCGGAAAGCCGGTGCCGCGCGCCCCAACCCGTGGGATCGTGGTGGGAAGCGGGTGGGAAGATGGTACTTAGCATGAACACAAATCCAAGACATGGCTTGACCGGATGGGAGACATGGCTTGATCATGCTGAACATGTTCTTGTCTTTTCCTCTCAGGATCTTGCATGGTTCTTAAAGGGGTCTTTGTGGCCAAGTGATACATGCCTATGCCAGCCAAGGGTGAGAAGCGGGCCCTGCGGGACAAAAGGTCCATGTTGCTCAATCCATGTGTGGCGGCTGTTTAAACCTCGTGCGGCGGCCGCACTGTTCGCCACACAATCCGCTGCTCGGGACATCGCCTGTTCGCGCTGCTCGGCTTCCTGCACCTCCTTTTCAGGCCGGGTCTTGGTCAAAGCCAAGGCCTCATAGCGGCCGCTTATGCGGAGACCGCTGGGGAGAAGCGAGCAGTTTCGTGATCTGCGAGCAGTTGAGTGTTGGAAGGTCTGGAAAAGTCTCAATGTTTCGGCCAAAAAGACAGGTTGCGAGTTGAGAGGATAGCTTTCAATGGTCTAGAAGTTTGCGGGGCCAGTCACAAATCTTCAAGATACGAAAGAGAGATGTGGCCCCACTTGACCTATTGACCTATTGACCTTGAACATTTGACCTATTGACCCTGCGGGCAATGGCACGTCCCTTTGTCGATCAAAGCGTGAAAGACCGCCGCCATTGGAGACTCTGGACTTGGCATGCCACACTGGGGTTTTCTTCAAACCACGTGCCCTGCCAAATGATGCTCCTTTTTGCAAGGCTAGAGGGGGTCAATGGTTTTTTTGCAAATGCTTGGGCCGGGTGCCGTGTGCGGTGCCCACCGGTCGCCTGATGTATTCGACGTTCGGAGCCCGGATGGGAGCCATATGGAGCCCTGAGGAGATGGAGCCGGAGCCACCCACTGACCGCCCAGGAGCCACCAACTGGCCAGTGCCGCTGCGCTCGGTCCTCGTCTTTAAGCCCTGCCGGCGCGCCGGGGTTCCGATGAGAAATCGCAGCTGCCGGTGGTTGCTTTCCTTCAGATTCCGCTCATTCCATGGGCCACTTGAGGTCTTTGGGGGATGTGCATGAAGAATGGCGAGTGCCATCTCGGCGCGTCTTGTCGCTAGAAGTCCAGGCAAACTTCAAAGCTGGAGACTCTGAAGGACTTAAGACTTAATGTTGGCTGCTTATTGATGCTTGAACAAGTTGATTCGATCTGTTTCGGAGAAAAAACCCGCGGAATTTCCGTGCCTCTTTGATCGTTGCAGCATGAGGGCAGCAGTACCTGAGAGTCCGGAATTGCCACCGGTGGCGCACCCAAGCGCTGTGGGCTCGCCAAGCCTTCATCTCTGGCCGGTGGTTCCGACCTAGCTGCTTTGCTACAAACTCGTTCAAGGCTGAGCATAAAGGTCTTACACCGGATTATTGCAAAACATCGCAATACCAGCCGGATCAGAAAGATTGCACTGATGGTTTACTCGGCAATGTGCTGTTGGTATAGGGAACAAACCCCAGAAGCCTCTTTCACTCAGCCAACTCGCATATACCAGGACAAACCAACAGAAACAACAGCTGCAGGGCCTACACCCAATAGAATGTTGCTTGGGAAAAAATATATGCATCCGTTTTAGGCATTGATGATGCTCGACTGAACCCCGACCTCGGTGCGAGCAATGCCCTTGGCATGTTCTTAAGAGGGTATATATAGCTGCATAGCTTAGGGCTTAGATCGGCTTTGGAGTGGGCTTGGGATGGCTCTATCATGCTCTATCAGGCTGGCACTTCTTGGTTCTTCTCCAGCTGTGGGCAGACCGGGTCCGGCTGCAACCAGAAAAAGCAACCCCGCCCCTCTGATCACCCTCTGATCGCTGATGTGCATTGAGCTGGAGACCGAGGTCCTTCCGCACAGGACCGCGGTGCTTCAGCCCGGTGAAAGGCTCTGAACAGATGGTTTGGTCAGCCAACCTGCGCCAACCTCTGCACGTTCCTGGTAGGTAAGTCAGTAAGGAAGGGTGAACAAACAAGTTCAGAACATGCATGAAGTTTTGCCACCAAAACGGTTGAAAGAGCCTCGAACTTACGGATGGACCCTTCCACTATTGTAGCGGAGGCTTTCTGATTGAAAGGGTGTCGACCTTAAATCGGCAACACATTTAATGTCAAAGGGCTGATGCTCTGCGTGCCAGGCGGAGACAAAGCAGGCCTCCCAGACAGATCGTGTCGTGCTTGATTGGGGGGAAAGGGCTCTGATTTCTTCATCCCTAGGGCCTATAGGGTTTCATGTACTTGCCTTTGTTTCGAAGGTGTTTGAGGTGGGTGTCAGTCCAGTCATGCCTTCGGAGGTACGACTGCCGCCCCAGGGCCTTCTCAGGGCCATAGCACGGCAACAGCCGGCGCCTACCAGCACGCACCCTACAGCCTAGCAGGTCTCCTTGTTCGATGATTGTTGGGCCCTAACAGGTCTCGGTACCACTGGTCACTGGTAACCCGGTGTCAAGCTTCGCCCAAAGAGTCAGCAAGCTGTCCAAGCGTGTTCAGCAAGTTGTCATACAGGGGCCAACAACACCAAGGATTTGCGTGGCTGTTTTTGGCCTCCACACCATGGTGAGGGAACTGCACGGATGCTGAATATCTCTGAGGTGTGGCTCCACTTGCCCTTGCCCTGCCATGCAAAAACGACCAGAGTCTCAGGTGACAAAAGCTGTGGAGATTCAGCCATATTCAACCCGCAAGCGGGTCCCAACGACTCCTGGATTGATTGAACAAGGACTGACTAAGCGGAAAACAACGGCTCACCAGGCATCCAGAATGTTTGAAAGAACCATGGATGAATGTTGAAAAACTTTGGACTTACCACCTACCGTCCAACCAGCAATGGGTCTGCCGCCCACCGCCGTTGCAGACCCAAGCCTCTGAACAGAACTCCAGGCCGCAGCGACAAAACCTCGGTTGGCCCAATTTGTGTAAACTCTGGATCCCGGACCCCGGAGCCGCAGGTCGGGGGGGGGGTTCTTCAGTCCCATCCAGGGGCCGTGGATGTGACAGGGGCACCCCGACTTCCTTAGTCCTCGGCACCCCGTCTTGTGACTGCTGGATGCAAACTCTTGAAGATAGTTCAACCACATTTCAACCCCCCATGTGAAGAGGTTGAAAACCACCCACGTCGGGAGGGCGATGGTGGCACCTTTTATGATGAATATGAATCAAGAATCTAAATATGTCTACATTACTCCATGTGGGTCAGGTTCATTCTGAGGTCGATGCATGTTGATGCCATGTTCTAGTCTAAGCCCTCAACCACTGGGTGCCACGTGATGGTAAATCAAAACCGGTCACCTCGAATTCACACCAAGAGAAAGCTTTATTACATGGGCAACCTCTTGCGAAGAGCATACTGTGGAGCCTTTTGACTCAGAGGTTCCTAAGATGCTTTAGCATGCTTTAGCTGGTACCTCATCTGATCCGCCTCATCCAGCACCTCGTCCGTGCTCATATTTGGTGTATGAAGCAAAACATCTTCAATTCAGTGAGTTTGCGGGGAAGAAGCTGCAAGTTGAAGGTTACAGTAACTCAGTAACTCAGTAAGAACCCCAAGTTGGGCACACGACCAGGGGCCTTTAGCATCAACAACATGGATCGAACCTTCAGGTTCTCCACTCTCCACCAGAAAGCCGTTGCACATCGTTGGACCAAAGGACCTGTCCGTTCCTGTTCAAAGGCCCTTTGAACTTCCCAACCGTTCCATCAAACACCGCGGTTCCGTCCAATACCCCAGCCAAATGAATGTGCCAGCACCCCAGGAAGCTGGTCACTCTGCATGGAAATACGTTCGAGTCTGCCAAAAGTCGATATCTTGGTTGACCACTGAAAAATCACTACAGAATTTCAGCAGAGGTGGGTCAGAACCCTATAAAGACTATCCTAATAGGTACTCCTGGTTTTCCGGGTCCTAGTTCAGGTCACTGGCTACAAAGGTAGAACCTTGGGTGGTCAACAGTGCCCATGACCTGCCGTCCTGGGCCATCTAGTCTGAACGCCGAGCCGAGTCGCAGGGGCGTGCCACGGAAGGTCCTCTTGCACTGCGCGCGGCCGCAGCCCATCGCTGTCCGCACAGGCTGGGAGATGGTGCTTGGGGAAGCGTGAGGGACTATCTGGTGAGGCGTGGTGGGGCAGTTGCTGTGTTGAAGGAACTGAGCATGAACACGATCTCGATCGCCACATCAGCTTACATTCCCCTTACAGTGCTTTGAGGGATCAGGTGCTAAAGCATGTCCTCCAGCAGCAATTATAGAGTTGGAACATGTTAATCCTGGTAGACGGGCCACGCATGTATACTTACCTCGTGAGCGATTGCTTTCAGAATCTTTCAGACCTGGGAGTGGCCGCGGCGTGTGCCATCATATGTGGAGTGATCACTTTGACGCTGCATGCCTTGAGAGGTTACCTGAGCCATCGTCAGGCCGACTTTGGCCAGTCTTGCGTATGCCCTCTCGAGCCGATCTTCTGTTCGCAAAAAACGGTCTTGGGTCAGCTTCCTCCTTCCTCTTTCTGCTGCAAGCTACTGGTCCTGAAATCGTCGTTACCTTCTGTTCATGTGTGAAACTTGTGTTTCACTCATTTTGAAACCCAATCTCTGGACCTGCACTGTGGAATCTGGAAATTGTGGGCAAAAAAAAGAGCCTAAACCCAAAACAATGACCCAATATCAAACAAAATGATCCAAATGGATCCAAATGGTACTGATACTGGATTTGTATCAAACAACCTTGATCTCTGCAACTCCTGACCCAAGTATATGCTGATCGGCGAGGTAGTGACACAATGGACTCGTATTTCCCACGCTGCGTTAAACAGGGCGGCGCCTTATTTGGCTGTCCAAGCAAAAGCCCAGGAACTGCACATGTATTGGCAAGGTCTCCGGCGCCCCAAGAAGAACATCTACATATCTTGCAGTGACCGCAAAAGAACGCTTAATCTATATGGTGCCACAACCCCGATGCTTTATCTTTCTCTCATCTACGATAGTTTCTGCCTGTTTCGGCCTGAATGCTCCGGTTCTTTCTTCACCATGAAAATCCTCAACAAGGTTCACCAACATCCCATGATCCGCCGCACGCGGCTCTGCATCACATCGCTGTTTGGTCGCCACCGCCGGTACCAAGTGTCCCCCAGCAGCTGCTCATCCGCATGCGCCTCCAAATAATCCAGAGCCTGCAGGGACGTGAAGTTGGGACTGGTCACCTGTCGAACCTGAAACTCTCGCAGCTTTGTCCATATCTTTGGGGTGAATGATTGGCTGAGATGAACTTAGGTATGAGTGGGGTCAAGCTGAACAGTATCCCCTCAAAACCGGTTGGGTTTTAAATGGATTTGACTTGGCAGCAAATCGTGCTATGTTGGTCCGAGGTTGCATGTATGTTAATTAGCCGCGAACATCAAGCCACCCCATAACGAAACATGTCCACTCTAACCCACGGTATTTCATTGTATATAGGTCCAAGCCATTCCAAATCGGTCTCTGCCCAACTTGGATTTCCTTAAGGAACCTGAAAAAAGAAGACATTCCGGATGGAAACCCCATCGAGAAAGATTTACCCATCGCCTGAAGCCAAACCCGTGCCAACACATGAACACAACAAATGAACAAACGGAAAAAGCGTGTCACCTGGTGGATGGCATCAAAGTCTGTGACTGGACAGCACATCAGCTTGAGCTTCAGTTCCTCCTTGAGCCTCGAGGATTCGAGCGGCTGGCTGGCTGGAAAGCCGCTGGGAAGGAGTCGAGTCGTCGAGTCCCCAAAGGGCTTACAGTAGAATCTTTGAGAGAATTCGCTTCAGCGACCCGACCCGAATTCACTCATTCCGTGCAGGAGTTCACCCCTTTGAAGATGTGTAGAGGGTTTCATGGCTGGTCTTTTCCATTGATTCACGGTCCACGGTGATGGTCGGTTCACGGTCCCCGGCCCAGGCGGCGCTGGGATCCTGATCCACGGGAGCCAGACCGTCACCCATTTCGTCGCCAGACCGTCGTCAGAAACCGGAGAACCGCCCAGTGGCATCAGTGCTCCACCAAGATCTGTGGGCCCAAACCCAGGGCCCAGGGCCCCAGGCGCAGGAAGTTGCGAGCAAGTTGAAGCCGGCTGGGAGGTCTTTGGATGATTGGTGATTGGGTGCATTCTCTTGGAAAAGACTTGGGTTCCCCAAACCTCAGGATGCCAAGCCCGCACGGTCCAGTCCCACACCCCTCGGTCACACCGGTCACATCGGTCTCCGTCGGTGTCGAGGGGCGTGAGCTGTTGGCCACTGGCCGCCTTGCGGCGGCACATGGCTTGATCCACATCAATGAGCCGGTGGAGAATCTTGAAGAGGTGCGACTTCGTGGGTGGATACCTGGCGAAGTCGCAGAGCGAACCGTGCAAAGGTCTCGCGCGAAGGTCGCGGCTCGCACCGGCGTGGGATTCGGATCAGGATCGGGAGCTTTCTCAGGCGAGGTCGAAGGTCTCGCCAGGCTGAGGTGGGAAAGGGATCGTCCAAATGGACCTGACAATTCTTACGTCTTACAAAAGCACAGTCATATGACGGGCAGCAACACGCATGATCTAGGTGCCCCCTGCAACTGAAACGCTGGAAGTTAACAGATAAATAATGCTGAATAGAGAGGCAATGGAGATAAAGGAACAATGTACTTCATAGACTTGATATGACTATCTTCAAAACACATCAAGACACCATTAGTAGTTTTAAAAAACATCATTTGCCATGCCAGTGGCGTTAGTATGATCTCGGTGATTTCTGGTGTGTCCGTTTCCATTTGGCCGAGGATCTTCAAGGGAGATGGGTAGCGCTGGGCCAGCTCCAGAAACTCCCGCGCGAGGCGAAACATCCGCGGGATGGGCAGCTCCTGGTTCCAAGGAATTAGGTGCGGAAAAAGTTATGGGTCGGCAGTGGTGGCACTTACTCGTGATCTTCAATGCTTTTTAGGTCTCCTTGGAGGGTTGTTAGGCCCTAACAGGTTTCAATTGGTGACTGGTTGACCTGGTTTTTGTAGTGTAAAAATCCTTAGTTGATTCGGTAAAGCCTATTAAATGAATGGTTGTTGGAAGCCTAGGAACATTATTTAACATGTTGCAATCCACTTTCGAAAAAGTCCGACTTCGCAACTCAGCTCCTCCACAGACTCCTCCATCCTCCTCACTCTCGCATCCGTCGATCCGTCGCTTCCGTCGACCCTCCCAGCCAGCGCCTCGGTCTCCACGAAGAGGTCCGGCTGCTCCAGCAAGGCCTCCGCCGACATGACCGCCGCCGCATGCGTCACCGCCAAGCACCGCTCCGCGTCCTGCCTACGTTCGGTCGAGTCGAGTGGGAGTCGGATGCGACTGGAGTCGGTGCTGGAGTGGGGTGCTGGAGTCGGTGCTGTCCAAGAAGAAGGACATGTGGACTGGAGACGTTTGCAGTCTCCAAGTCCGTACGCTGAATTGATCTGCAATGAAAGGAATTTGAATTCAATTAGACCAATATGCCAATATATGCCAATGCTTAGCGGGTGTAATACCACAAATTGCCCCTCCAGAACGAGGAGTCCGGCGAGAAAACAATCAACAAACCAGTGAAGCTCTGTCCGCTTGCCATTGCAAGCTTCATCTGGCCCCCTCGCATACACTGCCACATGGATTAAGATCACCTCCAAATGTTGCATCAGCTGTCGGTGGCAACAGCCAAGGCTCCGCAATCTGCTTGGTTTGTCTGCATTTTGTTCATACATATCATATATTCATACTATCACCATCACCCAGCTCTACAGGTCACCAATTTGAGACCTCCAATGGTGCCCTCAAACCCCACCAGGGTGCTGGTGGATCTTGTGATTGAATATTGGCCGGGTCATTGGACGTTTTTGGACCAGAGTGCTCAACGCCCCTGACGTGCAAATGGAGAAGAAGGTTTGAGGAGAGGTATGTGGACCCTGTGGACAACTAGCGAACACTTGTCAAGCTCGCATCAAACTCCTGCAATGCCCAAGAAGCAGTTGGGATGGGAAGAATGTGCCAAGCGAGCTCTGCCGATTCAAAGTGGAGGGACTGATCTGGCGCGATTTGGTCATGCAAAAGCCATCCTCTGAAATATTTACCTCAACTTGGATTCATTCTTAATGAACTACACCGGGGGTCCCATGCGTTGTAGTTTGCCGCGTCGTCTTCCACGAGCTTGAGCAACATTCCGTGCAGCACACTGGCAACGGGAGGCAGGGAACGTAGACTGGCCACAACTGTCCAAGTTGAGGTACAGCTTGTCTGGCGCAATCAACGCTATCATGAACATCATGATCAAATCAGGGTGCCACAAAGGGCAGCCTTGTGCCAGTTCATTGGCTCAAAGCAGCAAAGAAAACCACAATCAAACAAAGCTCGAGGAGCTCGAACAGAGCTCGAGGAGTTCAACAGTGCTCGAGGAGTTCAACAAAGCTCGAGGAGTTCAACGGTTCTCAACCTTCATCCATCTTCATCTTCTGCTTTAAAGACCAGAACCCGACGTGAAGCACCCGCTTCTTCTCCAAGAACGCACCATGCCCATCCATCCCCAAGTGCTCACTTCTCATGGCAGCTCCATGCGAACGCACAAAAAAAAAGGCACCGTCAGCATCACCGTCAGCTCAGTCCTGGGATTAATCTCTTGGTCGATCACACCCGCCTCTCCGACTCTCCGACTCTCGACTGGTGACTTTTTGTTGTGCCATGGTCGTCATTTTGCAGGACCTTCTTGATATAGACCCCCTGGCATATATAGAAGTTCGTAGATCCCCACTCAAAATCTCTTGGACACCTATCCATTTTTCTATCCATTTGAGGATCTCTCTCCCCAAATGGATGTCGGATATTAAATGCTCTCCTATTCGCGATCCGCTCCACGCACAGCTTTTCGCCACGCTTACGCCCGAAACCCGCACGCACGTTCCGGCGCACGCCTCGTCTCGATACCTCCGTTGGCAATCACCGGAATGCTGAGAGTCTGGGCGATGGCCCCAATCGTCTCCTCGGTTTCGCTTTCCATGTGCTAGGTGGGCCACTGAACGAGCACTAGGAGGTAAAGTGCACAGTCTTAAAACGCAAGCACCGAACCAAGCCTGGTCTGCCCTGGGGGTGGCGACCGCCTTTCCACAAAGGAGGCAGTTCTGATCAAGGGCCGCCTGCGGCTGCAGGTCTAGAGCTTCCACTAGGATCAACACGTTGCAACAAACATAGGTCTATAGTTCGAGGAGTCTTCCATACAGGTTGCTGAGTGTGAGCCAGTGTGAGCCAGGCTCCGCTCGACATAGCTAGATAAGCAGCCCCCTTCAGTTGCAGTTTGGTGAGCTAACTGTAAATTCCCGCTGCTCCGTGGTCTGCCTGCCCTCTCGCAGTTTTGCATGTCAGATGTTTATTGACAAGCGTCCGTCGGCGAAGCAAACTGACAAAATCTGACAACGTAGGAAAACAACGCCCGGCTCATTCAAACGGTGACAGTTCAGCTCTGCTGGTAACGCAAGCTGCACAGTCTCAACCAAGTTGTGCTTTCATGTTAGGACCCCACGCTTGAAAGAATTAATGTGTTCGGAGGGGTTCAATTCAGGTGGCCCGAAACAAAAGCGCACTTGTCACGACAAGCTTTTGAAACATGTCTTATTCTATTTATATAGGCAAGATGGCAACGGATTGCATGATTTGATCATGCAAGTGATTCCAACAAGTCTGAGTTGCTTAACTGACAACCTGGAGCTTCACTAACTATTCAAACGCTCATAATTGCATATTGCTGACGCTCTCTGGGAAAATTGCGCCTTCGACAACCCCTAAGTAGCACAGGAAAGTCCTCATTGCTCCTCCCAAAGTCAGTGAAGACCTGCACCGGTGATGTTTATGGGCACTGAGGTTTCCGACCACCCCCCTCATCTGCGCGCTCCTTTGAACCTGGACTTCCCTGACTCTTCCTGCAAAGAGACGACCGAGTCTTCAGTCTGCCACAGCCTCTTCAGTGTGTGAACTTCCGGACGAACATCCCACAGAAAGGAGGTGGTCTTTTTTTAATGTGAACTTGCTCAATCAGCCAGTGTCTCTTGCGCTGCAACTGATCATTGGCGCAGGATTTTGCAGCACCAGGATTTTGCCCAGAAGTCCCTCCCTCTTGTTGCTTGGTTTTTCTCCCAACATCTCCTCGTTCTGACTGCCGGGCCCCTCCGCAACGAGCGCACTCCCAAGCGTCCCAGTCAGGAGCCAGGCACTCAATGCCGTGCTTCCTCAAAGGCTCTGCAAAACGAGCTCAGTGCACTTTTTTAGATTCTTGGGAGTGCTCCAAAATCCCCAATGGCGGTCGGACAGCCGCCAATCAGCCCAAACTGTCTCAGTTTCCAGGGGTAATCAATCCATTCCCCACACCATCATTGGGGTGGTTGGAGGGGTCAATGTATGCATATAATGCATACATATGGATGGTCTGGGTTCTGTTGTGACTGTTGGGCTGAACTCTGGGCCAAAGAATCATCCTTCTTTCGGTGGTTTTTCTTCACCACTCGCTTACAAAAAAGCAAGCACGAGACCATGAAGCAAGAAAACGCAAGAACTAGTTGGCAATCAAATAAGCACAAACAAACAATCTTGCACTACAACATGTCGTTTATGTGAATGAACACCTTTTCATCCAGCAGCAAACTGTTCCAAAAAGGTGACATTCTGCTTTTGTGTGATCCCAACTTTCTGGTAAGGTAAAAGCTGCTCCGTGCTTGTTGCGGAGGAAAATGAAGCATCCAAATTCATATCCCCCACATATACTCCCCATATAGACTTCACCTCAACAACTTTGTCTGTCTTTTTCTGGTCCTATGCTGAGCCCGGGCAGTTGCTTCCTTGGTGTTGTGGGTTTGCAACACATGAACCTGAGGGAGGCGATGTTTGCTGATGACATGGCACAAGAGTTGTCACAAAAGGATACAAAAGGGAGAATTCTCTCTGAAATGGACATGGTATGTGGATGTATGTGGGCAATAACATACAACCTTTCTGCCTGTTCATATTTCCCTAGGGAAACAAACTCTCAAAAATTATCAACATATAAGTCTTGGGGAGGTTAGCCATTCAATGGCTAAGCGGCTAAGAGGAAACTCCCTGTGCCCTCAGCGCTGCTGGGTTGAGAAAAGAAACACATGACTGTATAACCTGCCAAACTCCTGTTCGCTTCCTCCCGGCTCCATTATGCAGCTGGTCCCTGGAGGCCCTGGTCCCTCCCCCCCCCGGCAGCCCCTCCGGGTGGAAAGCGTCTCGGCGTACTTCGGCCGCTGCTGCCGCGTGCGGCCATGCACGGTGAGCGCTGATGCACCGCTCTCCTGGATGGCCAAGGCCAGGTCGACCGAGCGGCGCCGGTTCTCCAAGAGGCGGATCTTCGCCTCGGGCGCTGCGGAGCACGGAGAGAAGCGCGCGGCAAGGGATGAGCGCCAGAAGCGCGGGCGCTGTGGCACGACGTGAAGGGCCAAAGTCTTCGTATGCGGCGCGGTTTTGGGTCGAGAAAAGGTGACTGGAGTTGCGACTGGTCATGGTTTGGAGGTCGGTGGGGTTGTAGTTCTTTGGAATGTGTTGGACATCAGACTTCTTGAATTGAGGTAATTGATGTATTTGAGGCTAGGATGGGATGTTGAGTTCTAGCGGTCGTTCGTCAGGTTTACAAGGGTGTCTCCGGGTCCTTCTTCTCCAAACACTGCACCAGCTTCTTTGGATGCATGCTTGTCAAGGAATCTGCCCACGCCGGCCCACAATCGATGTTTGGAGCACTTGTGATCCCTTTGGTTGTTCCTCCCCCTCCAGAAGTTCTCCCAGCAAGTTTGGAGGAAGTCGATTGGTAGATTGTCATGGGTTGGGGCCTGGGGACAAACCCGGCCCTAACCCGAAACAACGAGGTGGAGATATCAAATGCTCAAAGGCATCTCTCCTTTCTTCAACACTTCTCCTGGCTCTTACGAGTATGAGCAGGGTGCTCCAATCTACTATAGAGGCCGTGCTCCAGCTCCTAACAAATGTTGGGCCAAGCCTACACACAAACAAAGGTTGCAAACAACTCAGGCCCGCGCATGAATAGGGCGCGCGAACAAACATAGAAGAAAAGACCCGTGACGTTCCGTGACGCACCACCCAAAACATCCCCTGCTGAGTGAAGATGTGTTGAAAGCTTCTGTAAAAACCATGACAAAACCCCACACCTTCAGGAGGGAAGCACCAAGGTAAAGCACTGCCTCACACAGCAGAGGAGTCCAAACCTCGAGACTTCGACCAAGCCGCCGTCACCGGCACTTGTAAGTTTCGCGCCAAGGTCCGCACTAAGCGCGTGACTTGTGGCACATCGTCTAGCAACCAAGCACCATAGCGGCGGCAGCGTGGGGAGTGGCTGGCATGGCCACCTGCGAGCTCAAGGGTGGTGGAGTGGAGAGTAGCTCAAGGCTATCTGTCACGCTTCCCCCGGCGGCCAGGTAGCTCCAACGTGTTTGGAGCTGATGGTGGGAGCACTGCTCATGAAAAACCATGAAAAACCTCTCATCCTGAACCTCCTCTGAGCATACCCCCTAGAGTATCCTAGAGTTATGATGACGTTGCTTTATGCGGTGATATTCCCTTCCGTGTGGATCATTCCATTCAATGAGCTTTCATAAGAAAGTCCTTAGGTTCATGGGCCCCAGATGGAAGATGGGGCCCATCTGTCTCTACTTCCCTGTGGCGCCCAAGTCAGTGAGGGTGCTCAGGTTCTCCCATGCTTCCCGCATGCGGTGTTCGTTCCGGCATGCCATGGTGTCAGGGCGTCCGTATAGACCACCCCCGCCTTTCCGCGCATCCTCGGTCGGACAGCCGAAGTTGAGATCCACGGCCTCCACGTGAGGCTCCTGAGAGCGCCCAACTCGGTCGGTTCCGCGCCGCTTGGTTCCGCGATCGGTCACATCGGTCATGCCTCGAGTCCCCGGTCTTCCCCAAAGATGCCATTTTTCAAGGACCCCCCTTGGGTTCACAGGCATGAAAGAATTCGTGAGTTCTTGTGATACAGTAAGTGATGTAGCCAAAGCTGCGGATGTTGCCTTTTGCTTGGTAGGAGGTTCCATGTACTGGTGTCTGGATTCTGAATGATTTCTCTCTGAATGATGTCGTTGATTTAGTGGCTGGGTGAGTCTGAGTCCTCTTTCCGCGCTGGCCAGGGCCGGTGCGTTTTAGGCTGTAGACTACTCTCAAGGTTCACGGTTCCCTCCAGTTCCAACGCCTCCCACCTCCAGGCTTTGCCGACTATTGGGTGATGTAAGGGCCTTCCTCAGATCAATTCCTTTTCGTTTTCGCTCGTTCTACCCCGAATCTGGAATCTGGTCTGAGAGCTTTACCCTCCCTGCAACTTTGAAAGACTGGAACATGGGCCTCGGAATCCGCAAGATCGATCTACTGCTACCTGCAACTGGCAGCCAGAACTGGGCAACCAAGGCCTCCCTCCCCTGATGCACGAGCACGAGCACGCAAAAACGAGCACGTCGCTTTCCACGTCCCCAGCTGCTAGGATCTTGGCCGCACGTAGCACCGTTTGAGGATGGTCGCCACCCAGTTGGGCGATCAGGGGCCGATCCAGCTCCTGCAGCTGCGGAGAAAAAGCACTTAAGGAGGCCTTCCAAGGATGTGTTCTTTTTGAAAAACCGGACTGTAACTAGTTAAAGTTGTATACCTATACATATAGCGTCATGGCCATGAGATAAATATGATAAAACATGGATGCATGCCATGCAGCTCTTCAAGCAACGATTCCGGTCCGGATGGATGGTTTTGGGACAGGGCTTCCGTTGCTCCACCGGTCGGGGAGAAGCTCCACCGTTGTGCCAGTCAGGTCTTGCCAAGTTGGGTCCAGGCAGGGCTTTGGTGAGACTGGAGAAGATGAAGGCGCTCCAGGTCCACCTGCCCTTTCAGAAACGCCACAAATTGCACAAACACCAAAGACTCCTTAGACAGACTTGGAACCACTCAGGACTCATACATCATACATCTGATTCAATCACCGTCTGGACGCGGAGGCCGGGTGCAAGCTATCGGACAATCCTTGGTGGTTCACGACCGGGGGGGATGTTATCCCCTCAATCAACCAATACCCAAACACTCCATGAGACTGGTATAATCTGGTATATATAAATTCCATTAAATTCCTAGCTGCATTGGGGTGATTTGAGGGAATGTACGCTATTATATGACAACCGTGGAGTGTTTGGGGACAGAGAAAATTTGTGGATTTGGGGACGAGACGTAGGTGATGATCCATACCAATCCCTTGAATCAACCAACCAAAGAAGTCAAGGGCCGTCTTGGATGCCCTCCGATTCTCCTCAACCTTCCAGGCATCAAAGTAGGTTGTGCGATAAGTCTCATCCGAGGCAAAAGGTTCCGCATGGAGCATCGGGGTGTAGCAAAGATGCACGCCATGCCTGCAACTCTTGGAACTTGCTTGGTGTGTGTGTGTGTGTGTCTCGGCCTGTTTCTAAGGGTTGGACCAGGCACTTCAATTAACTCTTGGCACTTGGTGACTCTTCAACCTACGCATATGTTGCCTGTCAGCACCCTTCTGTAGTTGAGGGTGACAAGAATGCAGGGGTCTGTCTGTGTGTGTGTGTGTGTGATGGAGAAACCGCCAAAGCTCTAGAAATAAATATGGGACAACTGGATTTCGATCCCAAGCTTACCAGTCCCCAAGCCCTTGAAGGCAAGATGCTCAAAGTTGAACATATATTTTCAAACCTCATCTGCTGATTGTTGGGTGCATTTTATATAGGTACTAGCATTCCCATACTGTTCCCATGCCGTTTCAATGCACCAGGAGTGGGGAGTGGGGATTACCCCTGGCAACGCACACACACACACACAAAAAAAAAACAAGAAGAACATGCACGTGTACTACAAAGAAAAAGGTGATTTGCCAAATCAATTGAACATGAATGGTTCATGTTTTTCTTGAATCCATCCACTTCAGAGCCTGTCAACCATTAATTTCACCTGGAAGGTCAAGCTGCAAAGGCGGGTGCTGGGCACACTCGTCATCGAGAACCCATCAAGACTACCGGGGCGTTCCAAGGGATACCTTTTGTGCAAGCGAAAAAAGCCATGGACTTGAAGATAAATCCAACCAGATGTTAGACGAACAAGTTGATTGATGTATGGAGTAACATCCAACTAACTTTGATAAATCCAACCAAATGTTAGTCTTGACTAGTGATGTTAGTTAGTGAAGTTGATTGATGTCACCAAGTTCTTTTTTATCCAAATGCCGGTCAAGCGCCTCCACTACCCCGGCCTGCGGCACAAGATTCGAAAGGCCCGCTCAGATTGGTCAATCATAGGGCTGCAAACCCATTTGGGATTCCCCAAGGACCTGGGCCACCGGCTCGCCACTTGAAACTTCCAAGGACTGGAACTGGAACTATAATAAAGAAAGCCATTGGCCTAGCTGCTCCGAAGCTCCTTCCTTTGGAAGAGCAACGGGGAGGGGGTCCTTTCTGGACTATAGGTGACAATCCCCCCAAGCCCAAGCGTTCCATCCTCCCAAAATCTCCAAGGACAACCACCTGAGAAAGCTCGGACCACAAGGGGCTACTAAACACAGCAACCTTTCTGACTAATCTTTGGACTCATTGAAACGACCTGTGACATATGATCATGATGCTTCCACAAGGCATTCGACTTCTGAAGGCCAATTTTGGCCTCGCCGGCAACCCGCGCGATCCACTGGGCGACCCGCACTCCCACCACTCCCACGCCGTTTGGCTCGGTCTGGAAGCGCCTTTTCAGCGCCGGCGAGAGCGTTGCGCCGCGTCGTTTCTTCTCGGCTCGTCTATATGGTGAACGGCTTCCAACCCCGCCAGCCCTGTCATCCACCGTGAACAAAAGAAACAGAACATGATCAGTTCGGAAGCCTTCCTCGAGTCTAGGTTTACGTCCATGAAGAGCTCTGATTTGGTGTGATGCTTTAGCAGGAGGTATCAAGGGAATTCGGATGGATCATCACCTACCCTCTCATCCCCAAATCGATGAATTTTCCCTATCCCAAACACTCCATGTCTGTCATATCTGTCACACATATATGTATATATATACATACACCTAGGAAGACTAACATGGAACCTGAGAATGGACCTTTGGACATTGGAAGACTATTTTCCTCTACAACCCATTTTTCAGGTTCCATGTCAATTTTCCAGGGCCTACATTGACCCCTCAAACCACCATATATCTACCAGTCCCATGGAGTGTCGCCGACGTCACGTCGAATGAGGTGACCTGTGAAGCATCTCCAGAGTCCACCAGCCATCGTCAGCGCAGCCAGAGGCTTTCGGCGAGAACCACGCCGGTGAAGTTCGCGTCGGCACGCCATGGAGAAGTTCACCCGGGGTGATCAAATCTGCGTCGGATGCATTGCTGCTGATCATTTGTTTGCAGAAACATGGTGCATGATGGTGCTAAGTCTTGCAGCTCTTGAAGATCTTGAAATTTTCTTGAGGCGAAGCAGCACCCCCCTCCTTCTGGGTTGTGACACTGGATGGCCACCACCTGCACAAGGAAGCGAGTTTCAGGGGACATGTTTCCGTCTTTCTGCTGCTCTCAGGAGCCGACACTAGACTCATTAAACCAAGTTGTGCATCATTTGACTGCTTGACTTGGCGCCGGCTGAGGTCTGGGAAGGATCTTTGACCATTTTCGCTTCTCCCAGCGCCCGACCTAAATCTCTGGGAGGGTTCCAGGCCGAAACCGTTTTAAGAAGATTAATCTCTGAAAGCTGTGGAGCTATTTTGGCTCACTTGTGATGGCCCTGTGTCCTCCCTGCACCTGTTTACATCTATTCACCTAATTTACCTGGTTGCAGCCCAGGTCCCAAATTGGAAGTTTATTGCTTATTGAAGTACTTCTTGAGGACGATCAGGGAGTGGATCTCTAGGATCCTAGAGTCTTCTATCTTTTCACACGAGGAAGGCAGGAAAAGCCGTGGCCTGGAGGCCAGGAGCGGGTTCCATCCGATATGTAGGATCCACCACTCAAGCGCGACCGAGACCATCTTATACATCCTTATATCATCGTGATCTCAAAATCTCCCAGCAAAGCCATTCGCAAAGCCATTCGTCAAGGCGAATGATGGTGATTTGGCTCAAGTCAACTCAAGTCAACTCACATGGGGGCCGGGGGGGCATTTCAAGTTCAACTCCAGTGGTGCCAGGCGGACACCTGTCCCCGTCGAGACCGCGCGTCTTTTTCGCGCGAGAGGCGGGTGGTCGAGAGCTCCGTCGACACGTCGACACCTGCGTGGCACAGCGGAGGGCGGAGGGCCCCGCGCGCGGACCGCGGACAGCTGAGCCCCAAATACCTATGGGAGTCACAGATTCGACCAATCATTAGGGGTGCCGGTTCCGAACGGAGGAAGGATAGGGGTGCATCTGTCACATCCACTCGGATGGGACGAACCAAACCACCCCGAGCTTTGTGACTCCTGGATGGTGGGGAGGTTGTATCCTTTGTGGGGGTTGTTGGTGTCCGCAACGACCGGGCTCCGTGTTGTATCGTTTCAGGCCTCCTACGAAGTGGATGGCTCCGGAAGATCCACTTAAGGTCCTAGATGTTCGACAAACAGGTGTGGCCCATTGGCACGTCCATGATCATTCGGGATTGTACAGTTACGAGGTATGCGGCGAAATGGGAATCATACACGGGGGTGAGCGTGAAACAACATGTGGTAGATCAAGGTCTTTCCCATCAAAACTGGTCATTTGATTCATATGATGGGCCTTTCATGGTCTTCCCATCACTTCAATGCAACTGCCATTCGAACCGAGAAAACATCTGGTCCATGACGGGGCGCCCTTTGGAGTCTGGGTATGCTTCTTGAAGATCTTGGAACAAGTCGACATTGGCTCGACTTTTCCGCGCACCTTTAATGGCAGCCAGTCTTTTGCGTGTCGGCGTGGGTGCAGGACTCCGGGTTTGGGTATTAGTGGATTGGATTCCAAATCAGTCTAAACAAGAACTTGATCTGGGCTTGGATCTTCAACGTAGGTAGCAGGTAGATCTTCCCCGGACCTCCTTCAAACCAGTGGTCATGCGTACCTAGAAAACCCAAGTATGCAAAAAAAAAGTAATCGTGTTCTTTTCCGGCAAAAAAGGTTATCTCAGCCAAGAAACGTCATTGTTTTGTAAACATGTATTTGCTGCGATCAAGCCAGTGGAGGGTATGCAATATTCATTTTTTCAGCTGCTTCCAATCCCAAATCCAGCCTCTTCTTACACCAAAAGGTAGTTTTTCACCTAAACTTAGGCTGTTTGAGTCGGTTCCGGCGAAAGTGCAAGGATACACCGTACCTTTCGATGGCCCTTAGGATCACCTGCTTGCTTGCAACCTGTCTACTGACACGGCTGATTCTCCCAATAATAAGAACTTTGTTGGCTGCACAATGCCATTTAACTGACACGCAAAATTTGGACAGTTTGACAATTTCCCTCATCTCAAAAGTGGTGTGAGAAAAATTTGGCGTTTGGGCCGAAGTCATACACAACCTGTAACGCAGTGCGGGCCCCTCTTAAGGAATCGAAACTACTACTACAGCGAGTTAGCTGTGTTTTGCTCCTGCAACTGCTGGAGAAGGGTGTCTTCCTCATCAGGGGGCTGCACAACATCATGTGTTGGGCAGGGCATGCCTTCAAAGCCCTCACCTCACACAGAGTGGCGCAGCTCGAAACCAAGGAGTTGATAGGAGCAGGCATGGCCACATCAAAGGAAACCTGCATGTACCAATGTACCAGAGGCCCCTGAAACAGCAAAAAATGCTACATTCAAAACATCCAAACCGTGTCCGGCAATTTCCGCAATTTTTCCGGTGATTTCCGTCATTTGGAGGGTAAATTCCGTAATTGTTTTTCGGCCACTCCTGCATGGAAGTTTAAATGTCCACTGAAAAAACGGAAATCTCAGCGATTGCAGATCGAGCTAGGTTCTGTTTTCCCTTGCCCCAAGCGTTTCTCTATTATTCAGCTTTGAATGATCACCGCAACTTATCCGAATCTTCCAGGCAAGATGGAATCAAGGCATTCCATGACAAGCTGTTGGGATAATTTGACGCATCTCAAACACAGCATGCTCTCAGTGAAATTGGCTTCTGTCCGGTCGATTTCCAGGGCCTTCGCTTCGAAGTTCTTCGAGGGCAAAGGCAGAGCAGCTTTTCAACGTCTTGAAGTTTTGGCCACTCTAACCATGACTATGAACTAAATAGATAGAGCTCGGCCAGATTGAAATGGTTTCGATGGCGATATGGATCTCCAAAGCAATCTTTGCAAAACGAGGAAGTTGCAATTTGTGCACAGGGGGCATCATGTATCATCTAAACGCCCTCTGGTGATTGCAACATCCTCTGTGTACAGAAAGTAAGTACTGGCGCCCTGTTCATTTGCCCACAACTCCAGACTGGAGATCTCAGACAGAATGGTCCCATGATGTCTCAAACAAACAGCAGTAAGTATGCAAAAGGTAAGTAACAAAAGGTAACCAAAATCCAAAAAGGTAATTGTTATACAAAAACATACATTTTCAACAAAAAACTGTTTTTTCTGAAACTACACTTTTTTTTGCATACTTTAGGTTTACTAGGTACGTGTCAACGATCCGCAAAGCCTGGAAGCTACAGTCCCCCAGTCCATGACCTCGTCAGGTAAGTGGAAGGACGCTGTCTGATCTTCCATGGCTGAGGTTCAGATTCAAAGTGCCACTTCAAAACCTAGTTGGAAAGAAAGCGATGTAGGTGGAAAGACCATTCCTCCTTGCTACGTGGAAAGAATCGCTTTCAACTATATAGTGTGTATATATATATATATCAATTAATGGAGCCATTCGTATCTGTTCCAAATGTGATGATGGGACATGATCTAATATGGTTCAATATGGTTCAAAGATCATTCCTCCTCAAGAAAAAGAACAATCGGCTTCGGAATCACGGAATCACTCCTACTGAACCGCTGCTCCAATCCACCCATTTTGCAGGCGAGTGTTTCATCCCACAACTTTCATGCGCGAAAGAACATCCCCGGACCACACACCTTGTTGAAGGAAAACATCTTCACATCTTCCTACTTGCTGCACCCATGCCTGAAAAGCGCGGGCCGTTTCCCGCAACTCATTCTCATTCACTCTCGCTGCCAAGAGAGTGGCTGAGTTCTTTCGATCGATGCAAGGGTAATGCAAATCAACGTGGCATCTGCATGTCCTAGGGGGGAAAGGCCTCTTTGACCAATTCCGACTTGCAGAGCCAACTCCATGGCCGTTCGTCTCCTCTTTGAGAAGCTTTCTTCGAACGTTCCGATGCAGTGAGGATGTGAGACTGCACGTGGGCAGTTGGCTTAGGAGGACGGCCGTTAAAAGATGAGCATACTGTGCCCTGGCGAAGGAGATCACCAAAGGAAAGACTTAAAGGATCAGAACATGGACAAACTGGTGCGGTTTTGGTACCCCAGCGCCATGTACCTGGTGTCTTCCTGGCATGGGAGATGACGGAATCTGTAGAAGAAGGGAACCCACAACTTCTGGCTGCGAAAAAGCTGCTGTGAAAAATGGTTCATTAACAGTGTCCCTGAGGAATGAGGAGAGGTGCTCAGTGAGGATCTTTGGTTATGACCTTCTCATTGAAGCCTTTGTTGACCTGAAATTAGGAATGAGCCATCAAACTATAGAGACCTAAAGATGACTGCACAGGATTACGCATTTGGGCAGCCGAACGGTTTCGAACGCATAAATCAAGGGCGCCCTTAAAATTAGTAGGGCACACTGCCAATCACCTGTTATTTGAAGTTGCCCTGAAAATTTTCAGGCTTCAGGTGCCGCAGGTAGAAGAAAGGAATCCATCACCTGAGGAAGAATCCTCAGCAGCCTTTTTCAAGACCTATTCTTAAAGGCTAGATTTGGGACATCTAGGTCTTACCTGGTTAAACACAACAAAAAACATCTATCTATTTTTGTAGGGGTGTTTTTATTTGGCGTTTCTTGATCTTTCTTGAGGACTTGGCTTCGCTTTGCTTGATCAGGGTCATAGCGGCTAGCGACCAAACCCTCCGCGAACGCGTCCGAACATCCGCGAAGCCACCAGAGTTGAAAAAGAAAACCCGTTCTAAAATCATTATCCTAGGTTGAAATCACAGCAATTCCAAGCGGTGGCCATCATGTACCCAACATGCGCTCATGTATATGGTTGTATGTTGTGGTATGTTGTGTATGCCCTTTTAACAGCTGCGTTCTTACTTACAGAGTCCAATGGTTCCAAATGTGAAGCTGAAAGTAGCCATCCTCTTGCACACAGAAACAAATTGCCAAGACTATACACCCTGGAAAGCACTTGGACAAGTGGTCAAAGTTGCAAAGGGGTCTAGCGCGGATCTAGCGCGGGTCTAGCGCGGATCTAGCGCGCTTCCCTGCCAGTGCATGAGGCCACCAAACGTCTGTGATCAAGAACTCGCTTTCTCGTCTCTCAAACAGTTACTCCCTTACAAACAGTTGCTGCCCTTTTCAGCGCGCGCTGCCTTTCAAACAGTTGCTGCTCTTGTGCCTGTGCGGGTGTGTGTGTGTGTATGTGCACCAATGAGTGACCATTACAATCAGCTCTTGTTTGTTAATCTTTTCTAAGTTACCTAAGTACTTGATCCTAGCGCCAAACCTAGCGCGAACCTAGCGCAACCCTGCGTTTTGCTAGCGCGACGAGGTAACATACCCACTTTAAACACCAGAATACCAAGCGGTGGCCAAGCGATTTCTGAACCTCTGGGTACATTCCTTACTTAATACATATTCCCGGTTTTTTTTTTCGACTCAGACGTCCGGTCCGGCCACAAGGAGAGTGGAGGGCTGGTGAACCTGGTGAAGTGGAGGGCTGGTGAAGCAACTCACAATTTCCCCATGTGTTCTCAAGCGCGCCTCTCTGAGAGGCGTGACCTGGACCTGTGGCTCCTGACCTTGTGTCTGCATCTGTTCTGCGTGATTTCTGGTTGCAAGACTTTGAAGAAAACAAAGCAGGACCAACTAAAGCCACCAAAGCAGGATAAATTTCGGAGGTTTACTCTCATGGTTTTAGATGGTTTTAGTATGATTTAGAGTTCAGCCACCTGGTTCACACCGGATCTACCTGGTGTGTGCGGTGCGTGTGCGGCTTTCTTTTTGAGCTGCTGCAGCGAGCCGTCCAAAAAGCCAGAAAAAGGCAAAACACTCCCACATCAGCATGCATCGATAAACCTTTCGGTACGCCCCATGCCCACCAAAAGCTAATGTAGACTCTTGATTAATAAACACCCCATAGGAAGAGGCTTTTCAATCTAAATGGGGGATGTTATTAATCAAGAGTCTACATTAAAGGATGTGGCTATAAGAGCAAACATCAAACACACAAAAAAGGAACGGGTCGGCATGGCACAAACCCTAGTTCTGCGGATCATTGACCAAATTCGCAAAGTTGATCTCCATCATCTGCCTCATGAACCTGCGGCTCATAACGAGGCAACTAACGAGGCCATGTAGAGTGACCGTTGCATCAACATGCAGTTCCTTGAGAGAGGCTCAAGGAACAGGCATAGCGTCCTCCAGTCCTCCGTGTTCATTCCTTGACTCTGGAACCCGATCTCTGTCCCCTCAATCAATCATAGAGACCAGTCTTTAATAAACAGTCTTTACTAGTAACAAGAAGCTATTAGGTTGGAGGCCATTAGGGTGGAGGCCATCACTATTAGGTTGGAGGCCATCGCTTTGGAGGCCATGGCTATTAGGTTGGAGGCCATCGCTTTGCAGGCCATCGCTACTAGGTTGGAGGCCATCCCTATTAGGTTGGAGGCCATCGCTATTAGGTTGGAGGCCATTACTACTAGTAGCAAGAAGCTATTAATTAGGTTGGAAGCCACCTACCATGGCCATTCAATGCCCGGGCTCCGCCTTCGGCTTCCACCCATCAGTTTGATCAGCACGCCATGTCGGAAGTCACCCAGGCCGACCAGATCGATTTACTTTCGGTGTAACAAGGACACCCAGGCCACCCCAGGTCACCCAGTCACCCAGGCCTACCCAGGACACCCGCCAAATGGAGGAGCGACAATCACGCCTTAAGAAATCGGCGAAGTCCAAGGCCTGCTCCGGGGGCTCATGCACATCAGTCCTGGCGGCTTGGTCGAAACACAGCCCGTTCGAGAGAACACAGCGAGGTGGGAAAACAACCGGTCTCCAAGAGGTATACAGACCAGTGGTTGAATCTCGTCCACAGGTCGCCTCACAATTCCTAACTACGTGGCAAACATCAACAAAACCATTGCAAAGACCTCACAAGGAGCATGACTGCGAGGATCCAGGTATGCGTCGGATGATCTACACCCCGATGATCGGAACTTGAGACTTCACCGGTGCTTTCCATCGTGTTCCGCAGACCGATCCGGTGCTTACTTCGTGTTCCGAAAGAGCCGGGAGTTGGGTCCAAGGTGGGCCCAGTGGGACGGGTTGGACGCACAGGGAGCTTCTTGGCCACCAGTTGAAGTGACTGATGCATGTATCACGCGGAGTGCTCGGTGCTACAACTCCATGATGTTCCATGTGGAGCAACGCGTATATTTTCTATAGAACTTGAGCTGAATCCTTGCACTGTCTGATCTTGCACTTGCAGGTGTTGAAAGCCGCTGAAAGCGGTAGCTTGAGGATGCTTGGGGTCTTTAAAGTCTTCAAATCAAAACTTCCCCAGCCCAGCAGCCCGACCAGAAATCAGAACACCACCAGCCCAACGGCCTTCTCATTAACTGCTCGTTGAAAAGCTCCTCATGAGGCCGCCGTTGGCAAGAAATGTCTTGCCCGAGAGGGTATACTAACACGTCATCACACATCGGCCTCTTTGAAAAAGCAAGCATCCTCTCTGTATGAATACACAAGATCACTGTAAACATAGTCGTGCTGTAGCGATTTCCTCACATACATTGGCATCCTCCTACAAATGCTGGTGCAGGAATTTTCCAACACTAAACCAGCCATGGAAGACCTATACTAAGCGAACCATCACAACTGCTCCTCTGTTGGCAGGCGATTGGGGATCATTCTCTCATGTCTTACTCGCTTTGCGGAACAGGCAAGCCACCGAGATCAGGGTTGGCCACTGATCATCCCCACTATTTGGATCTGGCTGTGTAAAGAACAGGAAAAAACACGTCTATTTGGATAAAATCACAAACACCACCCCATATAAGCCAAATGAGGACTATTCATTAAAATAACTAGATACATATATATATATAGAGAGAGAGAGAGATACAGCAGCATATGAGATGTGCTTTGTCGCCAGTGCTGTTGGTGCCCTTCAGTCTGGTGCACAGCCAGGTCCAACTCTGCCATCCCCAGACGTGCCTGGAGTTCCGTGGTGAGCGCATGCCCCAACGGTGTGGTGCCTGCGGTGCCGACCAACACCGTTGTTGGAGTCGCTTCGATGATCAGTTCTGAGTCGGATGAGTCATAACATGTCATAACACTCCTCCGGATTGAATTCATGACTTGGTGATGTGAATCCAGGTGGATTTGGGTGGATCTGTGGGAGAAGTTCTCTTCCGATCTTGGACAAGGTGACAAGGTCCTGCAGGTCTAAATATGCAAACTCAAAGTGCCCAAACGCTCCGAGAACCATGACCTGCCCCTGGACGCTCGCTACGCTCCTGGACCCTGGGGCCCTGGGGTCTCAAATTCCTAGGCTAGGGACCAGTCGGGCTGTTGGAGCGTTTGGGTGACAGCAAAAGATTCAGAATGCTGTGTTTTCCTGCAGGATGTGGATGTCGAACCCTGAAGACTTTGCTCAGACCACGAGCAAACTCCTCTGTCTGAATCTCATAAACCGGTCAACAGCACTCCAATCACCCGATCTTTTCTGCCAACTCCGTCCAAGCAGCTGTTGATCAGCTTCCATAGTCCGTCAAAGGTGATACCACTGGGGGCAGCAGCCTGAGCAAGCAGCGGTGTCGCACAGGTCGCACTGCGAGGAGTGCAACAATGTAACAAACTGCATGGGAGATCCAAATGGAACCAGCATGTCTTGCTGGGCATTGGAGTGGGAGAACAACTCCCCAAAACCTCTACAAGGGCATCTACATGGGTCATGCTTGTAAAAAGGGGCGGGGAATGGGGCTGTTGTCCTTACGCGGTCAAATCAGAACCAACGGAATATCATTGAACTCACACACAACTGGGTGTCCAAAAGCAGCTTCTGAAGAAAGAAACACCAGTGAACAAACCTGAAACATCGCGAAACGGAGTCCCTCAAAACCTTCTTCAGTATCTATACACCTGATTCATGTCATTTTCCCGCAAGTCAAACAAATGCATGCACACAAACACACACCTTCGAAGCCTGCACATGGGACGACGGCCAAAGCAGAGTCCTATACAGGACTGCCTGTAGACAGTCCTCGCGGATGGCGTCCGATTTCCCGGATGTGGCGCTTCTTTATGCTTTAGGTTGGAGGCCATCGCTAGTAGGTTGGAGGCCATCGCTAGTAGGCTGGAGGCCTTCGCTAGTAGGTTGGAGGCCTGGCGCTAGTCGGGAGGCCATCGCTAGTAGGTTGGAGGCCTTCGCTAGTAGGTTGGAGGCCATCGCTAGTAGGTTGGAGGTCTTCCAAAAGGTTGGAGGCCATCGCTATTAGGTTGGAGGCCATCGCTAGTAGGTTGGAGGCCATCGCTACAGGTTGGAGGCCATCGCTATTAGGTTGGAGGCCATCGCTAGTAGGTTGGAGGCCATCGCTATAGGTTGGAGGCCTTCGCTAGTAGGTTGGAGGCCATCGCTAGTAGGTTGGAGGCCATCGCTAGTCGGTTGGAGGCCATCGCTATTAGGCCGGAGGCCATCGCTAGTAGGTTGGAAGCCTTCGCTAGTAGGTTGGAGGCCATCGCTATTAGGTTGGAGGCCATCGCTAGTAGGTTGGAGGCCTTCGCTAGTAGGTTGGAGGCCATCGCTAGTAGGTTGGAGGCCATCGCTATTAGGTTGGAGGCCATCGCTACTAGTAGCAAGGACACAAAGTGCGAGAGTCGAATGACTCGATTTCGATCACTTCCTATGAGCTCCCAAACTCTCAGTCTCCTCAAATCTCACCAGTCTGGGTTCCACATATAAGATCATCCCCAAATAGATAGAAACGCACGGTTTCCAATAATTACATTTTGAGTGGGGATCTACTTTTCATTATGTTCTACCCATTTTGGGTTCTACAATGTATAAAAATATATAAGCCATGCGACTTCAAGGAAAAGCTCTCGTAGCTCTTGCACCTCCGGCCCGCTGAAGCCAGTCTCCTGCGCACATCTGTCACCGAGAGTGAGTTGTAAAAAGCAGGAGGGCGTGGTAGAAAAGCACTGCTGCCGCAATGTAGTCTTGATTCATCAAAACCTCCTGTGGTTGTAAAACCTATTTCGATATGGGGAGTTGAATCAAGAGTCTAGGAGACTACATTGCCCCAATCGGTTGCCATAGTGGTCTGAGATCAAAACCAAAAGCACTAGACATGGGTGGGACTCGCTGTAGAACTTCATGGCTGTGAGTTCTGGCGTCAGGTCCGGAATAGTGTCGCTAGGTCTATTGACATCAGCAGTGGAACATGGTAAATGGCGCAATACCCAAGAGGTGGTTTACATGGACCCCCATCTGGAAAAAAAAAACAGTTTGGGGGATTGCGCCATCTAAATACTGTACTCTGAAACCACTGCATGTGCATTTGCAAAACATGTTTGTTCGGCTTGCGTAGAGCACGCAAATGTGGAGCTCCACTCTCTCTCTCTCTCTCTCATCCTCAGCGTTTCCATGAGCACATCACTCAAGTTCCAGAAAGGGTGGAATCAGAAGGGGCTACACCATTGTGCTTATCATGAATCCAAATTGGAAGGGACATTTACCAAACTGAATCATGTAGAGGATCACAATACTCTCCTACAATGTAATTCTGAAATCTCTTTTTTCGGAAGCTCAGGACCAGGAAGGTTGAATTCTTATGGCAAAAAGGTCTATGCAATTATGGTGGTTTTCAAAGTGTCCTCTGGATGCATTTTGGAGAAACCTAGAAGGTGAAGGAATGCTTGGAAAAATAGAGCAACTTCTCAGGAAGGTCATTCACTCATAGGGCAAATATGGAAAAACAACACATATACCCTAAGCATGTTACCAGGTAGAGTGGTCCAACCAAGTAACTAAGTAGTCGTGGTGTAGCAATGCCGCCAAACGTAACCGCGTGGCCCAGAGCCATTTCATGTTCCTCTGCAGCGGTGTTTCCCCCAAAAATCGTACGAAGCAGCCGGTTTGCTTCCGTCTTTGGCACGGTGCAACTTCACTTGACTACTAGTGGATTGAGAGGACTTAGATGGCACAAACCCCAGATTGTCGGTGGTTCAGTAGTGGACCCCCATGTGTCTAGGACATCTTGGGGTCTGTGCCATCGAAACCTCTGAAACCACTGTACATGAAAGTGCACATGAAGTGTAAGGGCTTCGCTTTTGGGGAAACTTGGGATGTCGCTGGGTTGGTTTTTTATTTTGTTAATATTACACTTGTATTTAATTTATATCATGCTTTCCAATCTGGAAGCTACAGTCATTATTTCTTTGCTGGGCTCATGGTAAGCGGATCCTGAGAGTTTGGCATCAGCCACCAATCCCCACGAGCGAACCACCACTAAGAAGTCACTCGAAGCCGCTAGCCGCTGACGCTTGCTATTCTTCTCTTCAGGTGGCCGTAACGGTGTCTCCTCCACGGCTGCCTGCTGCCGTCTTGCCACACTGATCTCCTGATGGATTTTGGGTGTGAATCCCCAGTCCAGGAGTGATCGTGAATGATCCCGTAATCTCTTCCGACGTCCACTCACTCTTCAAGTGCTGAACTTGAATTTGGCATTCCCCCTGTTGGAATATATACTATGTTTTTGAGCCAGTGTACTACTTGGTCTACTAGCCTTGTGTGGTACATATCTCCCCTCAAGTGCCCCACATAGTAGTAGAGCATTTGAGGGGCTGCCAAGTTGGTTTTAGCCCTCCAGTGACTCCAGTGTGCTTATATTGAGGATACTCATCAATTGACGTGTGACATGTGGGATGCTTTGGAACTGTCGCTGGATGGGGAACAATCTAAAACATATTAAAATTGTATGATTGTATGTGTCTTGTTTCATTGGCGAACGTAACTCCCAAATGATGTTTAAAAACGGGTTGGTGCGCATCAGTAACTTAATTTGTTATGGAAATCATCACCACGTCCGCCAACCCTGGGGGGGCCATATGTGGAGTTGGTCCTTAAGAAAACCGGGATCCTCAAGCGCAAAGGGCAAAGGGTTTTGGTTTCGATCTTCGTTCCCTTCTTCCCCAGAGCTTTAGCCTTGACGTCAGCTTCATGCTCGTTCGCTCCGCCTCTGGTCACGATGGTGGCAATTGCGTGCACGTCAACGTCCTCTAGTCACTACTGGTCCCGAACAAGTTCCACGAACTTCGGAGTTTCGGGTGCGGGCTTCGCTCGTGGATGTCTCGCCGTGAAACCGCCGTGAAACCGCCGGGATGTGCAGGTTCCGATGTCCGACCGTCGTACTTCGCTCGCAGGGAGGACCATGTCATATAGAAAAAACGATCCATCAAAGACGGACCATCAGCGATGACAAGATTGAGAAGCAGTGGTTTTGTGGAGGGTCTGCTCACGTCGGAATCCCTTCATGGAGGCCTTGATTGACTTGTGCTCATATTTTTAACTATATATATATATGCCTCATTATATATGCCTCAATTGATCCTCAATCTACTTCATCAAGCCAGGCTTGTCACCCACCGTGCAGGAAGAGTAGGGATCGACCCGCAGCTACTCCCAATTCCCAGATCCCAGGGTGAAGGGACGAAAGAAACAGCGCTCCTTGGCGGAGCGACAAAGCTGCAGGAAGGTCAAATACTCCTTGAAACCTGGAGGATTGGTGGAGAAAGCTGAAGGATTCCACATTCAAGTGATCTTCAGAGGGACAACATCATTGCCAAAATAGCAACGTTCGTATACCAACCAGCATTACCCAGGAAGGCAAAAACACATATCACTAATCCTGCCCAAACATGAGTCTAGCAGCCATAACAAAAGCCCCTCAAATCAAGCACTACTAAAACATCCGAACAGCTACGTGCGCTCAGCTCCTCAGAAGCTGCATTGAGTTCGAACAAAACGTTGACGGATGCTTGTCAACTTCCGGGGACCCTGAAAAGTTTGACAGTGATTTGGCCATTGTCAGCTCACAAGCCACTCAAACAGGAACATGTGACAATGGCATGCAATCTTGAACATTTTGGCGACCCTCCAAAGGTTGTTGAACACACAGAAATCTTGTCAGGGATTAGCGCTTTCTTTTGCAACCCTAGAATTATATAGAATCATGGAATTAGCATCTTTTCAAAAAGCGAAAGCGCTTTCCACAGAACATACACAGAACTCATCACTCAGTGACAACGATTACACTCGTCTAGTCTCCAAATGTCTCCAACCTGAGGTCGAGTGTAATTTGTCACCTCCCTCAGTTGACGAAGCAAAATGGATCTCCTCCATGGTCGAGTGTAATCTCTTCAATCATCTTCAATCCAATTGGGTGTACAATAGAGGTCCCCAAGCAGCCTATTATGGATTTGTGTGTGTCTCTCTCTCTCTCTCTCTATCTCTCCATCGCCCTCTCCAAGAGTTTGGCCATGTGGCTAAGGTGAGCCTAAGATTTTAAAAATATTTCATTGGAAAAAGCATGGTTGATTGAGGCTGTCCTCGCCAAGCCCCACATGGTGAGCCATTTTGAATCATTTTGGCAGCTGGACCGATGGGCTGCGGGTCTCTGCAACGGTCTGGGCTCTGCAGAGAAGGGAGCAGAAACCCATCGGTGGATTCAACACACCTCGAAAGTATGAGTCATTGAGAAATGTATCTGTATGATCCCTAGGCCTCCAACCACCTACTGAGGTGGTGGTTGGGGTGGGTTTTTGGGATCTAACCACCTTCTGAGGATATGGTTGGAGCCCCAAAAAATCTTGGGCTATCTCAAGCAAAGAGGTCAGAAATGGTTGGAGTATTGAATATGTCAGAACTTAGAGACTTAAAACATCAACCGGCATCTGGAACAACGACCAACAAGCTCAGGATACCTTAGAACATCAACCAACATCTGGAAACACCTTGAGCCTTCATTTTGCCTCGAGCCTTCGTTTTGATGGACGTCCTCTGACCCGGCGGTTGCTTCGTTTTGCCCCGCCTAAACGTCCCGTGCTGTCAACCTTGACCTGCCGCAGGATGGAGCGCAATTCCGGCCTCCGCAGGCTGGTTGAAGTCGGTGGGTCCAATTCAACGGAGTCGAATTACGCGAACGGGCCACGGCCACGGTTCTCCAACCACACCCATAGACGGTTGTTGAGTACACTTCGAAAAGAATAAGTTGATTACAACTGTATCTGCTGGAGACTGGAGACCCTGTTTGTTGTGGCTAGACCACTACTTCCGTATGTTACAGTCCATTAGGCCATCACGGTATCATATGGCAACAAAAAACGGAAAGCAACATGAACATCTTTTCCCACCACCCAGTCATTCCAGCATGAACTTGCACATGTCAAACACATGTTCTTGGTTCAGAATGTCATGTGATACGGATGTCCTGAAGATGGCCAGCTTGCTTGTGCAACTAGCCTGGGCAGCCTGGGCCACCACGAATGGTATCCCAGTTTCATGGCTTTTTTTCGGGCTCGCTCCAGGGCGGATCGTCAGGTGTCAGGTCTGCATCTCCTCCAAAGACCAGCTCAGGAACATGCTAAAAACACCACGAAAAACATTGATACCTCATTGTGGGGCTCAAAGGACTACGTTCATGATCCCGACTTCATGGGGCCACCTGGCCGCCAGAGGCAGAGGGCCGCCTTCTTCAGCCGGTGTGAGAGCAGAACATTGAGGATATACAACAACCTTTTCCATAATGTAGACTCTTGAATCAACTTGAGGACCATAACTCCCCATGTTAAGAGCATGAACCCAATTCAATTGGGAGGGTTGATGGTCCTCAAGAGTCTACATGACTTCTCCCAAGACCCAGGAGGTCCAGCTCGCCCGCTCCCCGGCTCCCCGCCTGAAGAGGGGATCCCGCGACATGTCAGGGAGCACGTCCTCCAGGAGCCGGATGAGGTCCTCGAGAGGGCGGCCGCTGGAGTGGTGGTCAGAGCATGCGGAGAACGGATCCGTTTGGTTCGCTTGGGGGGCATCCCCGCTATCAATCAACCAACCAATAGTAAAAGGCTATCCATGGCCGGCACCACAAATTGAATGAACTCCCGAACTCAGTGAAGCCCAAAACCGTCCAACCGCTGCCTAGTGGCCAAGTGCTAGCGCATGTCTTAACTGCTCTTTTTTGGTGAATACACGCCAGTGGCATCCCAAAGGCTAGCAACAAAGAAGTCGCATGCAAGTGGCCTCGCACAAGTTGGCAGCAAACATCCCACGAACGTGTTTCAATACATTCCTTCCTACCGGTGGTTCAACAGTGGCCTTCCTACTTTACATAGCTGCGTACGGCTTCTGTTCAACTTCAGGTCCCAACATGAAGGCTTGTGACAGGAAGGTGATCACCAGTTTCAGTTTGCGTGGGCAAAAGAAACATAATGACCCTCATCCCCATTCATCCCCGATTGCTCAGTCCTTATTGGCCACACAGCCATCCCGACTGGAAGCATAGGTCTCGTACTCTGCCCTCCCCAGCAGAAGGGCAACCACCCCTGGTGAATTCCAGCAACACTGGGTCCACTCCTAGCATATGGCAACTGCAGTACAGTGGTTTCAGAGTAGATAGATGGTTTAATAATATATATGGAGCCCCCATCTAAAAGAGATCTTTGGGTTGGTGCCGTATCTTCCACCTTGGTGAACGGGGCGGTATCCCACCATGATTCAGGCTCGGACATAAAACTCGGCTCACGTCGACATAAGGGATTGGCCTTTCAGAACCAAGGAAGCATGCTAAGCATGTCCGCTTACAAAGCATTAAAGCAACGAATTCGTAAAGGCCTTGTGCCTTACCTCTGGGCTCCTGAAGCCATTACTTTGCTCATGTCTGACATGGGCGATCTTTTGCAGACAAATGCTCTTGTGTGATGTCTTTGCTCCATGCCTCTTCAAGTGTACCCGAGGCAAGCAAGAAGAGAGTTTTGGCTCCATGATAAATAATTTGAGACACTAAACAACATGCCAACAAACTCCATATAGCTGTTAATAGATCGTTTACTACGCTGACGGCAACATAGTTATCATATATTATATTATAATATCATGGTTTGCTAATTACTTCAACCTTCACGGTCTCCGATGGTCTTTCCAATTTGGATGGTTTTTGTGCGACCTCCCCGAACGCAGGAACATACACATGCTCCAGGCCGTCCCGCGCGTATTTCGCGGTGGATTTCTGGCCTGAGCACCTTGAGCTGCTGCGCACTCCAGCCACCGTTCTTACGGCACTCCATTCGCTGTGCTTTGATCAACTTGTAGCACACCGTCAGGAACTGATGCTCCTCAGGCCGGCCACGGCTGCGAGACCACGCTCCGAGACGACGCTGAGGCCGCGTTGGCACGGTGGAACCCCTGGCAATGCAGGCCATCCGAAACACACTTTGCGTTCGGGGAACTTGTTGGGATGTCCTTCCTTTGCATGTCCCTACGCTTGGAGCGTTCGTTGGCCCGGTCTTGGTCTGGGTGGGCAACTTGGCTCATCTTCTGCGCTTGCACGGCGCGTCTTCTTTGGTGTGCCCAAGCAATTTGGACAGCTGCAAGCTAGGAAAAATACCCCTGCATCAACGACAAAGGCAGCCAGCATCCAAGCACCGGCCACAGGCATTGTTCAAGAAAGATCGTTTATACCCATGAAAAAGTCATCCCCGAAGTGGCAAAGGTGAACCTTTCTCTCCATGTTGCATAGCAAACTGTTCGGATGGCGTATAAAGAGCGCTTTGATTACCTCACGAGTTACAGTACCATGGACCGTTTTCCATGCATTGGACGCGGTAACCCATTATATGTGTGGCGATCTTCATCACTCAGTCCGCTTCTCTGGGGTGCACCAAAGAAGAAGGTCCTACATGGTCCTACAACCAAGTGATCGAGTTACGTCGCCACGGCCCACATCCGCGATTCCTGTCCCTTTGGGCTTGTTCCACCGCGATAGGCTTGCATGACGACCAAGGCTTCAAGGCGTAACATCGAAAGCGAACAAAAAAAGGACAGCCATCAAAACCTGTAAAATCAAGTGTTGCTTTCCACTGGGGGACTTACCAGTCTCGGAAATCAGTCAGTGTGAAAACCTCCACAAGGCAAAGGTGTGTGTATGTGTGTATATATACATATATACATATATTATGGCACGGCCCTCGACCCTGATTCTTGGTTCTGCAACTTGCACATTTAACGATACATAGCACCTCCAACTACTTTAAATCAATGGCCACTACAGCAAACGGATGTGCAAATGGTCTTACCAAGCTTGTCTATCTCCACTTCTGTGTGCATGTAAGATGTGGAATCCAGCTTAAATGTCAAAAAGCATAATCCCACACCCACCACAGGCAACTGTACGCAAGTAACTCTCCCCTCTCTTCCTCAGCATGTCTCTAGATCCACCACCCGGATAAACAATCCCTGCGCAAACCGCGACTTGGCTAACATGCTTTGGATTTGTCTGAGCGAAATCTCCTCTCACACCCACATTCGATCTGTTTGGGGGCGCGCTGAAAACCCTCTAAAACCACCTCCCCAACCTGAAACCTTCCAAAAAAACCTCCCAAAATCCTCACGCCCCAACGCCCGCAGTTGCGCTGGGCACCCTGGCCGTGACGTGGACCGTGTCAAAGGTCTCCAAAGGCACTGTGAAGTTGAGCAACTCCAGAAGCCGCACCTGAAAGAGTGGGTGAAGCAAGTCCCTGACACTCCACGGGAAAGTTCCATATTTACCAACTTAGTGGATTGAGAGTAGATGGCACAGACCCAAAGAGGTGGTTTGTATGAACCCCCATGTAAAGGACATCTTGAGATCTGTGTCATCTATTCTGAAACCCCTGTAGTTGGGGTGGTTTAAGGGTTCAATGGGCATATATAGTTCATTGGAGTGTCTGAGTGCTGGACTTGCTTCATCTTGCTTCCCATCCGTCTCATGCCCTAGACTCGATGGATGAGAAAAGCTGCAAGCCAGCACCATCTGGAACCCCAGAATTGGACGAATGACTCGAATCACCAGTAGCTTTTAAGGCCAGTTCAGCCGGTGTAGCCACAGTGTGGAGCTCATGTAGCGATCGTGTGGACTCTTGATGAATCAACCCCCCCTGGTTTTTGGATTGTAAAAAAACATCTTCATAGAGGGAAGGGTTTTCATATATCATCAGTCTACATTGAATCCACCCACAGGTCTCTTTTCTCCGGTCGAGTGAGGGTTCTATTCTCCTCGGGTGATGTAGTTTCCACATGGGAATGTGATGGAATTTTCTGAGCCATCCTATTGTTGAACGTCCCCCATACGAGAAGTGGTCTTCCGGCCTAGGGCCTAGGTAGTTCCCCCAAAGAATTCACCCTGCATCGGTCGCTGGGTCATTCCCTCCTTTGCATGCTGTTTGGCCCGCAAACCTCAGCGTGTTCGGGCTCCTAGCCCCAAAACCTCTACGTAGACTCTACTCTACCGTCCAAGCGGCGCAGTTCTCTCGCGTGAGGGTCCTGGGAGATGCGAGCGAAGGGCGGGGCCGGGCGGGGCCCTTCCGGGAGGATATTTTTTGGGGGGACCAACTTGCTGAGATTGCTTGAGGTTGCTGAGATTTTGGGCTGAAGGTGGGCGAACCGAAGGGGGCACGAGCGTGCTCGGTGCATCTTCATCGAAACCAGACTCAAATTCAGCCAGTGTCGATTCAGCATTAACGCTGCCAGCATCGGCCCAACTATTCAACAATCAGCCACCTTCAGTTGCTGAAAGTTGCTGTTCGGCGGTTGGCCAGCCAATAGGTAGGTGGGTGCCCAGGGCCCAGAGCCTATGTCATGATATAAACTAAAGTATAAGCAACTATTAGTCCAAAATTCGACGCCGAGCCGTAGTCCATCTTCTTGGAACATGTCACAAATCCCGTCCCCGCGTTCCTGCGAGCAGTGCTATTTGAATCGACGACTGGGGTAAAAGTTACCTTGATTGAAGTTGGTGGGTTGCTTCCTGGAATTGGCTGAACTTCTGTGTGATGTGCTTACACCCAGAGTCGATAGAACTTGATAGAACATGGGCCTCTCTGATAGGACCACACTTGTCTAACACATCTCCTCTCTCAACCATCCGGAGAAAAACAAAACAAGAACCTCTTGGCAAACTATATCGTTCATGTATCAGCAAATATGATCAAACTATATATTATACCTGGTGATCAACTCATCCAAGTCATTCAAATCCAAATCGTCCAGGCCATGCCGCCCAGGCGCCCTGGAGGCCCTCCTTTGCTAAAGCCCTGCCGCACGTAGGCGTCAAAGACATCTCGGAAGTGCTCCATGTCTTGGGCTTGAAGCATCCGCACCAGCTTCCGAAGCCTCCGCCCCCAACGGGGTCGGTGTGGGTTGCGCCGCGCGGGGTGGTGTGGCGAAAGACCTACAGCTCTAGGTAAACCCAAAGACATGCGCGCACGCCCAGGTTTCTGCCATTCCTTCGTGCAGGTCTCAACTCCAAGAATCAAGCCAGGCTGATCCCCACCTTGATCATCCATTTTCGTCAAAAGGCCAGCGCACTGGGCTGTAGCAACTTTACAGGGTCGACTGCACCTGGAGTCCCAGTACGTACCTGAGAAAATGGGTACAAGGTCCTGCTGTGCTTGGATAAAGTCCTGTCATGTCCCGAAGAAAAAACAAACTGAACTGAAGAGTCCAGGCCCTAGGCACCTGTACTTGGATGCTCACATCGAGCTCATTCTCCTGTGGGGGTGCATCACCCGGGGCGGACACTGGCCAAGGCACTCCGCGAGGTTCAAGGCACCTGACTCGTCCACATCCACCTGGCGATTGTCCAGCGGGAGATAGAGATGAAGCGTGGCGAAGAAGATCGGAACCTTTAAAACATTGATTCCAACGCCCCAAACATGCTTTAAAAAAAAAAAAAAAAGTTTTTTGATTTTATGAAACTCGTGGCGGCAGCTGTGGCACATTTGGTGCCACATGTATGAACTCCAAAGGAATTACAGTAAGTGAGTGGTCAGTCATATAGGGTTAGTTATTTCACTGTGCCTGACAAACAACTTGCCAACCGAGGGAAAACGAGAGTCCTCAAAAGTATACTGTAAACACAAAATACTCTCATCATCCTTCCAACACAAACCTTCTTTTATCTTCTTTTTGTCAATTCGATTCTTTGACCATGGGAGGGAACCTTGCCCAGTCCCCCCCAGTGACGGTCGGTGTCTGTCCCGGCCTTGAGCAACCAACTTTGCACCTCGGTGTACCTGACCCGTGCCCATTCGGCCAGCACGTGGGATGGATGGCTGGAACCAACCACCAAGGTCCATGGGCGACACAGGGGGGTGAGGGTGCAGGTGAATGACGCATGGTTTCAATAATTACGATGCATACTCAGACTCCCTCTCATTGGCTTTGCTTAGCAAGATACTTCTTGGCTGCTTGGGTCATGGCCTCCGACGTGGGCAACCACGCATCCAAGGAGTCTTGCGAGTCGGGGTACGGCTTCGCTATACCTGTCTACCTTCGTCATCGGGTCCGTGCGAAGGTATCGCATCCAACTTACTGAGACTCATTGATGAGTATATAACCACATATTAACATTCACCCCCCCCACTGAAGAACTTCTTCGTCTGGGGGTGGTATTCATCAAGAGTCTGCATTGCGGACCTGGTTGATGAAATGAATGACAAACCCAAGGCCCGCACTTGCTGCGTGCTCCATCTTCCTTGCTTCTCTGCCAGGGCTGTGTTGTGAACTGGTCCAGTTCACCAAAACCTTGATTTCAAGGTGCACGTCGGCAACGAACTCCCACGTCCATCACGTCCGTCACGTCCGTCACGTCACTTCATGTCGCATTCCCAGAATTTGACTGGGTTGCCTTGGCAAAACTTCCCGCGTCCGACCAGGCATGGTCCCAAGAACTTCAAGCCACTCGGTAATTAGTTTGTTAATGATTTCCATTGATTTCCTGTACGCAGCAGGTGAACCCTTCTCACTTCAATCATCTTCAAACCCTCTTGCTGGCGTAGGCCATTCCATTGATGATTGACCACTCTTGGATATATATTGGCTCTCCACTGCGAGAAAGTCTTACAGCGCCTTTTGCTCACGAAATGTTGCGACCACCTGCCGTCTTTCTCAAGTTGGTAGATACCGGGCGACTTCTCCACAAAGTTGCAAGTGGCCTCACCGAACCTCATGTGTTACACCGCAAATCATCGCTGCGGCCCTGCCAAGCTTTGTCTAATGATGCTAATTAGCATCTTTGGGCCATATTTGCTTATCATCACGTCCATGGTTAGACTTTCACCGCCATAATCCTTTTAACGAACGGTTTTCACAGCCATGGCCCATGGGTTTGATGTCATATGCCTTTGCTCTTAGTTTTCCCAAGCCTTGATTCCTGGCACACTTTGCCCTCTTGTCAATGCATCAACTTCAAACAGCAAAACACTACGCACTCTATATAAAGTTGGCACAATCAAAGATACACAGGTCCAAGCCCTTCCCCTTCGCATCTTTCTCTATCACATCACATAAAGTTAGCCCCGTGCCCATGGCATCATGGTAGCGCTGCAAAGTTCTCATCAGGATCATCATCGGGGAAATGGACCGGGACAACCTTGCACATCTTCCAATGAAATCTTGGTCAGGAGCACATTCGTGGACGCATGGGTTTTGAACCCATGGAAATACAGCATCAGAAATGCCGCATTGTGGACGGCATTCAAGTTTGCGGTATTGCGGCAAGGGAAAATATGCAACGCCGTCTCGATGTGCAAAAGACTGCCACACGTACAGCTAACAGAAATTGAGTAGAGACAATCATGCAGTTCCTTCCCTATCTTGCTCGCCAACAGGACATCAATCACTCTTATTATAGATTCCCCGGAAACATGGTTCACCTGATGCGTGCCAAAACCTCAGAATAGGATGGGAGGAAAATTGCACTGGTGGAGCAAGTCATCATATGAATAATTATGAATATATGCAAATAAAGGCACAACTGTTTGGGAATGGAGTGCATGCACAAAAGCACAAACATAAACACACGATATACAGCCTCTGCATCAGAGGCTCTGATGAACAGATTTTGAGGGCCTCATCACCTCATGTCGGAATCTTTCTCTACAACCTTCTTCACAGAGTTGGTCACTCTCTCTCTCTCTGTTTCCCTGACCCGTAGCTGTGTGGGTCCCCCTTTCCGGCACGAAGCGATGCCCGGATGCCCCGCGGCACCCCACGGAGAAGCCCAGCATTCGCAGCGCCAGCGGGGATTCCAAGTTGTCCAGCTCGCCCGACTCGTCCTCGCCGGGGAGTCCACTCCAAGGGTGGAAGTTGGCCCGGCAGCGAAAAGACACTGGTTGGTTGATGTTCCTTGGAAGGAATTGTCATCTTTAAGGATTTGGAGCCACAATCTGCTGAAATCGTGATGTTCCTGAATGGTGCATACGGTATGGGAGGAGGGGGGCTTCCATACAGACTTGGAGCCATGGGTGTTGCTTGAGGGGAATGATGGAAAAAACTGTGTGGACATAGGTTTTAGATTGTTTTAGCATGTTTTGGCCAATGAGTCAGAGTGTTGTGTGCTGGGCAGTTTTCTCCGAAGAAAACTTCAGCAACAAATGGTTGAATCGATCCCAGCCAGGTTTTGGATCATTTGTTCATTCTCGATGGTGGCTCAACAAACACAAACATCAAACCACACCCACCTTTTCCACCCCTCATTGTCTGACCGCAACCCCAAAACAATTACGAAACGCGCCCGCCTCGTCGTGGCGCCGGAAGGTCTCCGTGATCTCCTTAGGATGTGAAATATCGCTGACAACAAGTCCACCAGCAAAAAACATGCCCCCGTTCACCTGATTCATCCAATGTCCGTCATGCAGTCATGGCAGTCATCGAAAGCTCGTGAGATCTGGGATTCAAAGCTGTTTGCCTGCTTGGTAGGAACCGCTCAGAGGGAACGTCAAAAATCATTCCGCCCATGTGCAGGTGAAAACCATCGAACACCAAGTCTCTTGAAGTTCCTGGCGGCCGAAGCCCTCCCTGCGGCGATACCTTACGTCTTCATGGGACCACGGACCAACGAAAAGTACACAGGGACCTAGATTCTCAGTACGTACCTTAGAAAAACGTCATGTCTCAGGTACTTGTGACGTCTGCAATTATCACCTCACTGGGGAGACTACCTAGAGTCTCAAAATATCTTTGAACACTGGGTGCCAGTGTATATATATATAATATATACACCTGTTTTTTGTTCGGGTCATGTCCCATTTTTCAAGCTAATTAAAGTTGGGTCCAAGTAGAAAGGGATATGAAAGGAGATGGTTTGGGGGATGCAGTTTTAATGAACAGCGATCAAAACGTATTATTGTTCAACTAAAAGCGGGCGTTATCAGTTTTGATTTGCTTTACGGAGTTGAGTTCGCCACATACTGATAATTAATCAGATTTACTGATTTACAGTAACAGTAAAAATACATATAAAGAGAGAGAGAGAGAGAGACAAACATTGCTGCAGGACAAATACACCGGTGCGGTTTGCGAGAACCACTCCACCAACATGTTGATCTCGTTCTGGGGGTGCGCGACTTGCAGGCACTGCCCACACCAACACCAGTTTCTTCCAATATTAACTCCCAAACGCTCTATGTATGGTATGTTTATTTGCCTACATTGGGGCGGTTTGAGGTGTCAATGTTTATCAATGCAGGTAGCTATTCCATACATGGAGCAACGGGGAGTGAATCAAGTCCATGAAGGTCCATGATGGATGCCCCATGCGTTTAAGAGGCAACCCTTCCGCCAGCGCATGCTGGATCTAATTTTCATCGGGTGACGTGCCCAGGAAAATTCTGAATTCTGAGGGTTCAGAATTAATCTCAGCTTCTGTGGTTTGATTGTTTACTTTGCATCTGCACGGTCCTGATACAGCAAAACTTGCTTAGCGCAAAGAAAACATGTCCATCGATTTGGTGCTTACAAACTAAATCTAAGAGTTACAACACCGAACTTTGGAACGAATGTGAACATTGGAGTGAATGTGCAACATTGTTATTGACGGGGTGGGCTATCAAATTTTAACGGTGCAAAAATAAAAATAAAAATTTGTTCAAACATCAAAAGAATTAATTCGTCGTCGTCGTAGTAGTAGTAGTAGATGGAGTAGCAGTAGCAGAGTAGCAGTGGCAGTAAAGTAGTATAGTAAGTGTAGTGGTCGTAGTAGTGGTCGTAGTACTGCCAGTAGTAGTAAGTAGTAGTAAGTAGTAAGTAGTAAGTAGTAAGTAGTAAGTAGTAGTAGTAGTAGTAGTAGTAGTAGTAGTAGTAGGTAGTAGTAGTAGTAGTAGTAGTAGTAGTAGTAGTAGTAGTAGTAGTACTAGTAGGTAGTAGTAGGTAGTAGTAGGTAGTAGTAGTAGTAGTAGTAGTAGTAGCAGTAGTAGCAGTAGCAGTAGTAGTAGCAGTAGGAGTAGTAGTAGTCGTCGTGGTAGTAGTAGTAGTAGTATCAGTAGTAGTAGCAGTTAGTAGTTAGTAGTTAGTAGTTAGTAGTAGGTAGTAGTAGTAGTAGTAGTAGTAGTAGTAGTAGCAGTAGTAGTAGTAGAAGAAGAGCAGTAGCAGAGTAGCAGTAGCAGTAGCAGTGGCAGTAAAGTAGTATAGTAATTGTAGTGGTCGTAGTAGTGCCAGTAGTAGTAAGTAGTAGTAGGTAGGTAGGTAGGTAGGTATAGGCAGGCAGGCAGGCAGGCAGGGAGTTAGTTAGTTAGTTAGTTAGTTATATAGTTAGTTAGTTAGTAGTAGCAGCAGTAGCAGTAGCAGTAGCAGTAGCAGTAGCAGTAGCAGTAGCAGTAGTAGTAGTAGTAGTAGTAGTAGTAGTAGTAGTAGTAGTTAGTAGTAGTAGTAGTAGTAGTAGTAGTAGTAGTAGTAGTAGTAGTAGGTAGTAGTAGTAGCAGTAGTAGTAGTAGTAGTAGAAGTAGTAGTAGTACTAGCAGTAGTAGTAGTAGTAATAGTAGTAGTAGTAGTAGTAGGTGGTACCTTATGGTCCGTTTCTACTTATCCTACTTATGGCTACTTATGTGTACTTAACCTACTTACAGCCGACTTATTTCTACTTATTTGTTAATTTAAAAACCTTATTAAAATAAGTCGGTTATAAGTAGAGATCAGTTGAAGTCAGTAGAAATAAGTAGAGCACATGTGTTTGAAAGGTTTTTGTGTTTTTTGTTGTTTCATTGAAAACGACAGCTTCAAAGAGGTTGGCCTTGAACAGAAACAGTTGTGTTTTTTGTGTTTGTGGTGTGACAGAGACTAGTTTTGGGTTTGTTTTCACTACTTTTCAACATTGCTTTGACATGAGCGGGCACACCGCTGAGGCAAACATGGGAACAAGAACCAGTAGCCACACCACTTAGATGGAGATCTTTTTGCTTTTTTCCTCCTGTGGGCTGAAACCAAACCAGGTTCCATCGAAATCTTGTCCAGGATGTCCAGAAATCCTGGAAAGTACCTTTATTGAATTCGGCTGTAAGGACGAGATGGACTAATGAAATCTGGCAACCCATGGCTCTGCAAGGCATTGGGTGTCTGGATTGAAACCATTCTTTTTTCAAGCCTCTCCTCCGACCACGAGGATTTATGTAGCAAAGCTGAGCAGCCAAGTTGCGCAACTCAATTGTCTTGCGGATGAGAATCTGGGACACTGTAAGCATTCAAAAATTTGCAAGCACAAAGGGCAGTGTGAACAGGTTTGTGTGTGCGGGTGTATATTTCCAGCGGTCGCACCACAAGGCTACAGATTGCACGTAGCTGTGAAACAGTTGCACCGATGGCTAGAGGTTTATATAGAGTGGTTATCTATCCTTTTTTTTGCGGTCACACTGCTACAGGAGGCCACTGAATGCTAATCGCTACGAAGCGGTCACACCGCTAGATATATATATTTAGATTTCAACAAATATATAAATCATGAATTTTGGCATCTATGCTGGAAAATCTCTATAAACCGGTCACACCGTTATATATATATATATTTATACACATTGTATATACAGGAAAGAGCTGAGCAAGACGCTTGCGGAAGCCTTCCGACAATTTCCCCCGACGTCAATGCAAGCAGATCACCAGCAGGTTGTCCACGGTGTACCGATACCAAGTCGGAACTACTAGGGCATCACTCGCGGAGACCTGCCACGTAGTGGACCTTGTGGCGCCGCCACCTGTAGTGGACCTTGCGGCGTTGCCGCCTGTAGTGGCCCTTGTCGCGCTGCCTTTGCTGTCACCTGCAGCAACCGAGGCGCTGTCAACTTCCACCTCTATAGGCCCAGCATCTGCAGGTTGAGCATCATCTTGTGTTCCTGCAAGCGTTTCTGTAGAAATCTATTTAGGCCCAGGCTACGTGAAACCTTGTACCCTTGTAGACTAGCGAACACACCGCTGCACTACGAGTTTTGAGCGGTCAAACTGCTTTGAAACCTTGCGACTGTCCTTTTCCACGTGGGCTGTGGGGGCCTCCGCTTTCTACGCGGCTCCTTCGGAGAGCTCTCCACAGCCGCCATGAGCAGGTCCCATGGCTCCGGCTCTATGAAGCGATCCATCGCAGTTCTAAATACAACACATTGGTGTATAGAGGTTGGCTTCCATGGTTAGCGTGTCAGTCGCACTGTGAGTTACGTTTATCATGCACTGTATACAGTTTGACGGTTGACCATGATTACAGTGTGACCGATCGACGCATGTGTTCCAGAAATTGACGCATGTGTTCCAGCGCGATTGGAGGAAGGTAAGCGGCGTTTTGAACATACGTTGACACGCCCGAACAAACCAAAATAGAAGCGGCCACACCGCTGGGACAATCGAAACTATAGAACTGTTCAAAGCGTACACACCGCTGGGAAGTCGGTTTTAAGAGACAACCGAAGCAAAAAATCCCAAGTTGTATTTGACGTTTGAATAAAACATTGAAATTCTTATTTTTTTTACTGGCCCTTGCTACACACTAAGTTGTTTTTGTGGTACAAAAACCTGTGAAAAAAACCCAATGCTTGGAAAACAAGAGAAAGCCGAAAGTAGATTAAGTAACGAAAAGTAACTTAACCCACTTACTATGTTTTATCTTAAACCTACTTATTTCTACCTACTAAGTAGCAATAACTAGCTACAAGTAGCTGTAAGTAGCATAAGTACTTCCAGCTAGTTAACCTACTTACACCTACTTAAACCTACTTACCTATTAAAAACCATGCTAAAACCTACTTAAAACTAGTCATAACTAGGATAAGTGAAACGGACCATAATGTAGAAGTACCACTACTACTACTACCACCACCACCAGCACTACTACTACTACTACTACTACTACTACTACTACTACTACTAC